CAGGGGAAACTGTTACTTACTAAAATGACATATTTTCACTCTAGAAGAATCAATCCCATATTTTGGTTAACAGTAAAACACTCGGTAGTTCAAATATTGTCACTGTCAAAAAATGTACCGATTTTATCCACTCTTCCGGCACATTTCTGTTAACAGTGAAATATGCCGTTTTCAATTCTCATCTTTTTTCTGGTACCCCATATATTGGACTGTTGTACAAAGATTTCATACACAAGAATACCGATCAGACTCTCTATAGAAGAAGTGGACTTTTCGAGAAAATGCTCCAAATAGACATAAAAAAATGCTGTTTTCAATTATCGATTTCTTTTTTCAACTACTCTTGATATTTCAAACTGTTGTACAAAGGTTTCATACCCAAGTATACCAATTAAGACTCTCAATACAAGACGTTAAAAAAAAATCTTAGGTGGACTTTTTGAGAAACGGGCGTCTATAACTTACTCGAAATCGTAAAAAAAACCTGTCATTTTCAATCTTCTTATTGAGTTACCCCTGATTTTTCAAACTGCTATACAAAGGTTTCATACATAAGAATACCGACTGGACTCTCTATAAAAGTTTAAAAAAAAATTAGGTGGACTTTTCGAGAAAATGGTATCTAAACTTGCTTGAAATCATTTTCTGTAGAAACGTGTCACTTCGTCTAGTAGACGATTTATTTGGCTTTGAAATGATATAATACTTTAACTGTCCAATAAATAGCAAATTGATGCATCACAATTTACGCACGCGCAACCATTTTCCAGAATTTTTTCACAAAGTTAGGGTATACTTCCTGTCAATAGAGTACCTCAGAAATACATTAAGCACTAGTTCAGACGTCCCTTGAAAGTTATTAAATTTTGACTAAAACGCAAAAATTGCCCAAAATCAGTATTAGAATTTCACAACAAAACTTATATCATTGGAATCAGATAGATGTCAGCTATCCAAAAATATGTAATCAGAATTTAAATATCCCAAGAAATAAAAAAAAATTGAAAATTTTCCTATTTTCACCAAAATAAAAAGAACGACAAAGTTTCTAAATTCAACGTTTTTGAACTGAATTCTTCTCAGAAATGTCTCCGGCTATCCAAAAATCGGTTGAAAATTAAAGATTTAATGCATTTCCGTTATGTTCACAAATTTTGTTTTACATTAAGCACTAACCACCAACCATTTTCACAAGAGAAAACCAAACTTCAAACCTCAATCTCTTATAGTTGCTGAGAAATGGGCTCCCCCAATTAAAAATCATAAAAAGAATAATGATCCTAGCCATAACAATAGTCTTTCACCATTTTATTGTGAAAGCCTAAAAATAATCTTAGTAATAACAATAATCTTTCACCATATGGTGAAAGCCTAAAAAGGTCTTTTTATTTGGGATATTGTGTTGATTTTAAAACCAATTTTCGTAAAGAATTTAGTTTCATAATGTCTTTTTCTGTATTTAACGATTCATTATATTGTTTAAGTTACTATCTTTTCACAGTAAGAACTTTACAACTGATAATTTTCTTTGATATATTGAGTTAAGGCTGATTTTTTTGGTTAAAAACCTGAAGAATTAATTTTTGTTAACCATAGACAAATATAATCTATTGACATAGCCCATTATGTTGACCTTTCCTGACCTCTGTAACCCCCCCTATGTTGGTTGGCTTTAGGGAATCATAAACAACCAATGAAGAAGCTTCAATCTGTGATATTATGTGTACGGAACAGGATAAGTTTAATTAACAGACTATCATTGATTCTAGTTTATCAGTGTTAAGTCAATTCTCAAACAGATACAATATATTGGTCTTTATTACAAGAGTAGTAAAAGTTTTGTTAATGAGTTTTTGATAATCCAAGTAATCATTCTGATTTGGAGATTTTAAACCTTGATTTTTGGTTGTGTTCGATTTATCGATTTATTTCATTGCAAATTAAGGCTGATCAGAGTTGCAGTGATGAATCTACTGCTACATATCTATTAAGCTTGTACATCATTAGGCGGATTAACGTTGAACAACAATTAAAACACCGACTTCATACTACCCATGACTGTCCTGAATACTATCATAATCAACTGGAAACGAATTAAGTGTATCATCCGCCTCAAATTTGTCCTCACTGTCTTGGTCAGTGAAGATGCCATCCACGACTTTGTTGAGAGTGAATCGTCTACGTGCCATTTCACTGTTTGCTGCTTTGAAACACATGGAGATACCTTCTAATGTATGCAGAAAAAACGATAGATGGCACTTACAGTTATGGTGCTAATTTTAGCGAGGGTCTTACTGAGTACCCTGTAATACTGGGTACGCACATTTTAATGACATTTTATAATACTCAATACTACCGGATAGACGCAATGAAAGGGTTAAATCATTCTCTGATGTGACTTTATTGTTCCATGAGCATACTCGCAGGAATCATGGTGAAAAGTATAATTGAATCAGCTGTACAAATAGTACTGTAGTGATGCCAATTACTGCTGTAGAAGACCACATGTACAAACTGTGTTGTAAGAATTACATGTTATTCATTACATCATTGTTTTTACTGTCAGCAAGAGATCAGTTTCGTGTATTCACCTGTTTATAATAAGCATTGATATACTAGATATATAAAGCATATGTTCATTCAAATCGTTTTATACATTGGTCCCTAGAATTTCCTATTTCCAGATGCGATGCCAACCTATATCAGATTTTTTCCTGGAAACATTTACATTGAAGATGGCCAGATGTAAATGTCTGGAAGCCGAGCATATTGATATGATTTCAGTCAAAGTTTACCAGTTTGATAGACAAATGTTTCTGTTGTTTATCAGATGTGTTGCTGTATCTCAATGTTATTTAACAAACATGAATGGTATGATAAAAGTGTACTTGCATCTGATCCAATTAGACTTCATTTTATATGCATTGGAAATTGGTTTTGTACCATTTATCTTCACTTATCTTAACCTCAACATTCAATATTTGAATTTGACTACCATAGTTGTTGTATCTGGAGAGTAATCTCACAAGCTACTTCTTACATGACTAGGCGATCATTAAAAATTTAGTTATGTATTTGTCAAATAATTAATTGCAGAATCTGTTTGGTCTCTGCTTCTTTGTCTATTTTTACCAATCTATAAATGGTATATAATTGATTAGTAAAGTAGTCACAGATGTTAACCTTGCTGTGTGAAATATATCTGACCAGTAATTTATTGATAATAGAACATCTTTATTTGACTTTTTCCAGACTAATAACCATTTAGATAAGAAGAGGACATGTGTTTAGAGATTTTGATCAGATCATTCAACTCCTGTAAAATTTTCTTCTATCACACAATATCAATAGAACATCCTGATGTTCCAAAATAACCATAGAAGGTCATGTCCTCCTGAATGCAAAACCTTAATATTTCCTATTTGAATTTCAACACCATTATGGGTCAATAAAGTAGCCCAATCTGACTTTGTGTCAATTGATTTACACAAATGGGATAATATCATGATTTTCAGAGGAAATAATTTAGTTATCAGTCCAATACATGTATTATTCATAAATTTACCCTTGTAGGATTCAACTATGATTATACCAACACTTTGTTCTGTTATATTTTTTGGTTATTTGCCCCACTTTGTCTTGGTCCACCTACTAATCTAAATTCCAAAAAGCTTTTAAAAGACATTTATTATCCAGACATTTGATTGATTGTTTAATCAAGCTTGAAGGAACTGTTATATTGTCATCACAGGCCTAATACACATTTTTTTAATACAGTTTTTTAGAAATTAGATCTTAATGATGGACCAACTGAGAAAATTAAAACCAACATAACAAAAATAGCTTTGATATGATTGCTTAGGGATGTTATGATGAAAGTCTTAGTGCATCATTTGCATTTTTCAAACAATATAAAATTTTCCATGGCTTAAAGATACATTAGCTGGCAGGTCTTTTTATAATAGTTAAAAACTAGATAATGTAAAGGGTATTTGCTGAAAATTTCAGTCAAATTGATCCACTTTGAACCGAGAATTTAGCGATTGAATTTTTGGCCTAGCCTCGATTATCATTAATAAAGTTGGTACGATAAAAAACAGTCTCGATCATCCATTTCATGATTTAATCATGAATGAAAATTGAGCAGCAAATCGGATCCTAATCCAGTAAATATCGTAGGCTATTCGCAGGCTAGCGATGACATCAAAGTTGATTATGGTTCTGGATAAGTTAATGTCTAATTAATAATTTAGATAACATTTCAGGCCTAAAGAAAGACCTGCTATAGGCAGATTTAGCTCTTCATAATGTATGTTTAATCTATGCAAAAAGTACTCAAATTGATTATCTAACATTTAAAAAAAAAAAACTAGCATTCCAGCTTGTATTCAATGTGATTAAAAATAGGCCCAGTAAAAGATTTTTGTAAAGGTGGTGTTGTCTTTTGGACATATCTCAGCCATATCGTCACAGAGGGTGCCGAAGGTTAACAAAATTTTAGTTCATCATATCTTTGCCAATACTAAACAGAATTTAATCATTTTTCGACTGATATTCCTTTTAGATATTTCAACTTGCACAATATTGTATCAATCCCACAAATGACATTCAGAGATTTTGATGTTGCATATTTTTAGATGTTCTGTCCTCTTAAAAAAATTTTTTTTTATCTCTTTTTATATTATTAATATTATTGAAAATGAAGCTTCACATGCACAGTGATGGCTGTGTTTGTTCTGGCAATAAACATTATATTTTCAAAAATCTTTAATAAAGTGAAGGAACAATTAAGCCAGACAGCAAGTGACATTAATGAGCATTTCTTTAAACATAGGTCTCTGTAAATGCACATGACTTAGTGTTACCCACTAGATTTAGTGTTATATTTATAGTATCACCCAATTGCATGTGTTTCTTTTTGTACTACAGACTGTATAAAATGTGTAATATAATATTTTCTCTTAGACAATAAATTTAAATAAATTATTTTATTTTTCAAGGATGCAGATCCAACATCACAGAATTTACCAGATAAATACATAGAAAGAATATCAGACATGTCTCCGGTACGTATTGATAATTAAGAAGCCCTTTTATGTATCATTTTTATACACACTCATGTGTAATTGTATGTTTCGCACTCCTGTCTGGTTGTTTGTCAGTCCATTGGTCACATTTCCTTGTGGACATTCTTCTAAAGTTATCATCCAATTGACTATGGACAACGGCTTAAAATGAAAAACACTGGTCATGTTCTTCTGTCATGATTCAAAATAAGCTTTTTTTTATTATGTATTATATGTGTGTAGTATAAATTATGCCAAATATTATGGGTTGAATCTTTAAAGTATTTGCCATTATTAGATATTTGATATTATTGTAATACGGAACCCTTCATGGGTTGTACAATTTCCAAAGTTTCCTTATGGAACTTACTCCACAAATTGCACTTGTGACCAATGTCAAATATTAAAATCCACTGCTCATCTTTAAAAAAAAAAAAAATCTTTTCCCCATCAACATGTTTTAAGGATTATATATTTTATGAAATTTTTGTGTGTCCACAGCCCCTGTCTTACTGCCGTCCAATGTAACTTTTAACATTGCGGTAGGTTCCATTGCCCTTGCTTTATATAGATTAACTTGACTTGTTATTCTTTCTCTTAGATAAATAAAAGGAAAATACTGCTCATTATAATAAATGTTGTTGAACACTAGCCACAATTGTGGAAGTTCAAATATATAAATACCTTTAAAAAGGTCATGAATACAATTATAACAAGTTCAAATGATGTCTTTTAGCAAACAAAAAACTATCTTACAAGTGAAAAAATATTGACATAGTTGGATGATAAAAGACACAAGAGAAACGTCTCCTTGTTCAAATATTTTCATCTTAAGTCTATATGATATGAACGATCATTGCCGTATCCTGGTTCTAAGACATGATTATAAACGATTTATAAATTCAAGTTTTTGTTGGGATTTAAAAAATCTTGTATACTTCAAAGATGTTGAAAGAAAGAAAAAAAATCTTCATTTGAAAATTATTTTTTTTATCAAGGGTAAATTGAATCTTGAACTTTTCACATGTGAAATTTGAAGTTGAAAGATCTAAAAGAAGTTATGGGAATAGACCCAGTAAAAATTCTAGGAGCTGATCATGAAGATTGGATGGCGGCTTGGAGATCCAAACTCTAAATGTGATATTTTCAACAATTTCTTTCAAATAATTAGCCATGTAAAAATAAAAGTAAAAGTTGTATGTTTATCGTCTCCAATAGGTAAATAGACTTATTGCTGTCACTGATTTAATAATATTGCTTAAAAAGTCAACAATTTGACTATATTCTCAAATCATCAATTATACTTTTCTTTGTCATAATTGTCTGGTCAAAAGACTAACCCAGTTGCCAGATATTATTTGTGAACAAGTGGGACTATTTTTAGATTTATTGTAAAACGTGGAACATTTGGTTTTGTTTGCTGTGCTAATCCAATAAAATGCACAAATCAATATCTCTGGTCGTTTTTTTTTTTTTTGCTCAAGATAAAAATATTTCTATCTTGGAAATATTTGCATTTATGCGATGAACATGTGACATAAATTCAACACAACTTGTTGAATCATTCACATTTTCTTGTGTTCCTAAAACAATAAAATATGTTCTCTTTCTATTTCAAATTATAGAATCTAAATAAACCTTGTTCTTTCGTATTTTATTCACCAGAACTCTTCAATATTGTGCTGCAACTAAGCAGAGTGACCTAGCTAGTCTATCTTTTTTGTGCTTGTTCAAATTTAATGATGGCAAATAGATATGTTGAATAAAATGAATCTTTAATATTGCACGGATTATTATTGCTATAATTGTTTTTCTCTTGTACACCCCTTTAAAGATATATTCCCGTATACAAACTGGGTGATTTGATGATGTATTTGGACTAAAAACGTATTGAAACTAATTAATTTATCAAAATTTTGCTTCAAATCCTTCTCAAAACACTGTTTACGTGAGAGAATACACCTGCTGTAAAAAAAATCTATTAAATGAGATCATGTTTGTGTCATGTGACTTAGCTGACGAACTACCTTGCAACGGGTGCGAAGTCTGGGGAGAATTCATTGCATACACAAGACGATGTTGTCTTTAATCGCTATTCTCGGATTATCCACTGCCCACGTCTTTTTCCTCGATTGTACATCTAACTCTTCATAAAGTTTATTAACATGTACATCAAGCGCCCAATCTCCGCTTGTTATCCGACTGCCGATTAGGGAAACCCTTACATTATTGTCCTGTATGCGCTCCATGAGTGCTTTTCAGGGAATCCAGTATTTTTCTAGTAGTATTGGATATTTCTACTTTCCATATATACCAAAATTGTCATACTTTTATTGGAAATAACCACCTGATAAGCATCACCAATTTTCTTCATTGGTGTAAAATATGTTGTAAGTACTTGTATTATATCTATAGGCAAAGGATCAAGATAGAAATTTTCTCATCTTTCACAGAAAAAAATATTACCATTCTGTGTTAGTCAGAAAATGTGCGAGCTGATTTGCCAAGAAGTTTATTTACTTTATTTCATATTGTTTTATTTCATTATTAAATCGATCTTCATTCTGACAGTCTCATTATCTGCAATTCTGTGTTTCATCAAATGGAAGATGCAAATTGTTGATGGACAGATTTTCCTTGATAATTCTGTTTTGCCTTTTCTTTTTGTTCAGCTTCAGACTAGTCTTGATAAAGATGAAGATTTAGGTATGAGGACAAAACTAGTAGAAAATTTAAAAACTGCGCTTAGAACACAGACCATGAGGTAAATAATTTAATGTTAAAAAAATATTACAGAATCATTCATATCACAGGCCCGGCAGAGTGGGGGGGGTGCAAGGGGGGGCTTTAGCCCCCCCCCCCCCCGCCAATAATTTGGCCGCAAGTACTCTTTTCTCCAGGTTATTGCGGCCCCTGGACCCTTGCCTATAAGCCCCCCCAATCAAGAATTGCTTCCGCCGGCCCTGTATCATATCTGTTGTTGATTAGAGGTGGGGAAGACAGGGCCTGCAAATAAAGTGTATCAGTAACTATTGATGCACTTAATAATTATTGGCTACCCATGCTAGAGAAGATGAAACACATTGTTTGTTTCTTAATGAAGATATTTTTTGTGAAAAATGCACCTACTATAAGACACATGCATGGTATGAGAAATCAGCAATAGTATTGCTGCTAAAGATGCACTCTCTTGTAGGTAATGCTTCAAATGTTGATTCACTGTTAATGATACATTATTCAAGAGCTAAATTTGCCTATTACAGGCCTTTCTTTAGGCCTTAAATGTTATCTAAATTATTAGACATTTATTAACATGACAAGACCATAATCAAGTCTTGATGCCATCAGGTACTCAAGATTTTAACTAGATTAGAACGGTTCGGCCATTTCATGATTTAATTTAAACAAGGAGAAGTGAGGGTGGAGGCTAAGCCTTGGGTATACCAGTACCGTGGTTACAATAATACACAATCAATGTATAAATCGTGTACCATAATGCGTTTCAGCGCTATTTGTCATAAGGGACTCGAAAAATGAGGCTAGGCATATTCCACAAGTCAAACGGTGACGCCATATTCTTATCTGGAGAGCATGCGCAATAAATATTATCGGTGTAGACTAGAATAACCAGACGCTAGAAATTGCCATTTGATTGAGACTTTTAGCATATTTCGGCGAACATAACTGTTTAGAAATTACAGTAAAAACAGAAACGTTTGGATGTAATTTAGTTTAAATACATTCATATTACATTATTATATGCGTTGAGACCCATTTAAGTCAATTACTAGGTCCCAAAAATTAGCGATTTAGCCCCTTTAATATTCTTTGTACTGGTATATTTTAATTTTTGGATCTCTAGAAAATTCATTCACTGTGAAATAAACATTCTCTGTTATTTTGTAGCTTTGTGGTGAGATTTGTAGATCAAGGAGGTTTACAGTGTTTATTAGAATATCTATGTAAAATGGATTATCTTATATCAGAAAGTGCCATACATACATCAATCATTGGTTGTATCAAAGCCCTCATGAACAATTCAGTAAGTTTTATCTTATTATTTTTACAGTAATTTAAATTACTTACATTTTTATACTAAAAGAACATTTTCGTTGGCTACTGAACAATCACCAAAACAACAACATGGTGCTCATTGCAAAGAAATAAAAATACTGTATGTTATTCTCAAGATGACCAATGTATTGTGTTGGCAAGACATTAAATTTTATTTAATTTCATTCTTTTTGCAAAAAATACATTTACAAAAATAAACCATAAAACTGGAGGTTCCTATGGAAGAGTAAGGATCTCCTTAACTGGTGGTTTTGCAAACATTGTCTACTGAAGGTCTGTATTACCATTCAGATGAATCCTGAACAATTTGATTTTGATGCAAAGTATACTTCTTGGATTTCATACAATTCTAAAACATAAATGCTTTGTTTTCCAGCATGGTCGGGCACATGTGCTAGCTCATCCACGATGTATCAATATCATTGCTCAAAGTTTACGTGTTGAGAATGTTAAAACAAAGATAGCTGTTCTGGAGATTCTTGGTGCTGTCTGCTTGGTGCCTGGAGGCCACAAGAAAGTCCTCCATGCCATGTTGCATTTTCAACAGTATGCCGGAGAACGAACTAGATTTCAGGTAAACTCAGAATTTTTGAATACTGCTGAAATAATTGAAATTATCTTTGTTTTATTTACATTTGATGATTAAAAACTGTTCAATGTACAGAGTTCTTTTAACAAAAAGAATGCATTAAGGGTGTTGAGTAGTATGATATATGCACTAACTTTTCAGCACCAATTTTATTAAGACTTTGCAAAGGACATATAACAATCTGACCGTTTGTTGTATAATAATGGAGATACAAGCGGAAAAAAAAAATATTTATAGCAAACAAGGTTTCCTTGACCTAGATCAATTGTTGTATAAATTATGACATCGTACACATCGGACACATGATCTGCTGTAAACAATCATGGCTGCCTCCAGCAACAGTTTGGACTGGATGACGTATCCCAATTAAGTCACGTGACCTGAAAAAATTCCCTCTAAGACCCGATTATCCAGGTCTACCATCTATCACATCACTGAATTTTTCATTTTTTGGGGGATGGTCAAAGACTTAGGCTACCATTTTTGAATGTATAAAATGATTTTGAGTGTGGCGGACTGAAGTAAATATTTACTTTTTTCATCCAAATTGTTGCATTTTAAAATTTGTTGTGGACATGTTCAAAGAATTTACCGAAAATCACAAAATCTTGTTTAAAGGTAAATGATAAACAAAGATTTTAAAATACTTTGAGTAGATAATTTTTAACATCTTTGGCACAGAAATGTTGCTTATAACCTCTACTGTTAATCTACTGGAGGGATTATCGATATCTCTTTTTAGCATGAACTTACAGAATTTCTTAGAAAACTCATCATTATTTGATGTTTCTATGGATACCAGACAAACCACGGTCTATTGCCAAAATGTGACCTGTAGATTTCTTGGACTTGTATTTAGCATTGTTCATGTTAAATTTGATAAAATTCCATGCAGGAATAACTGAAAATTTGACTTTTTTCGTCATCAGCACCTTTTATTATCATGTTTTTGAAACATAGTTGGTAAATAAAATTGGTAATTTTTTTTGGTTATTTGTAGTTTATCACCCCAAATAACAAAAAATGTCATATAAACAAAACTTACAGTGCTAGCTTTGAAATGTGCATTTTAGAGTACTTAACGCGTTTAATTAACATAATGTTCCTAAAACCTCACCAAATCAATTTGTCTATTTTTATTGACTATTATTATGATGGAATGAAAGTAAATTCATTAATTAATTATATTGAATGTTCACTTTAAAAAACACCCCTTCTAAATGGCTCAGATATTTTCACCATGAGCATAATAAACTATGGATATGACATCATAGAACACTGCTCTATGACATCACTATTATGGATGACATCACAATACACTGAATATTTTGTTTCTTGCTTAATTTTTGTGTGTTCATTTTGATATCTTGTTAAAATGAAGTTTCGAAAAAAGAAGCGCATAAAGGAAGGCACATGTCGATGGAAGGCATTGGAGGATATTTCTGTCAAATTGCTTGGCTTGAATTTTAGTCGTCATGTTGGGAAAATTGTACATGTAAGAAATGGTAGAAGATTTTTTATTTCATGATCAGTAGTGGAATACCGCGTTTTATCAGTGAAATAAAAGTGTTATTCCACTGGCTAAAGTAGTCCATGTTGTTTTTACCTAAAATGATTGTAAAATCATAAAATAAATAGAACATTTGTCGTTTTGTCGTGAATAACATATTTTATTTCATCTCTAAGCAAGAAAACGTTTATATTTCCACTCATGCTATGCATTCGTGAAAATATAAGTTTTCTTGCTTCTCGATGAAATAAAATATGTTATTCACGACAAAACGACAAATATCCTCTATATATTTTGGATGATGTAAATATACATTTTTTTAGTGTTCTTCATAAACTTCATTAATGTTTGTACTTTTTTTAGACATTGATAACAGATTTAGATCGAAGCACAGGAAAATATCGTGATGAAGTAAATTTGAAAACGGCCATCATGTCGTTTATCAATGCAGCATTGAAATATGGTCCTGGTCAAGATCACATTGAATTCAGACTTCATCTTCGTTATGAGTTTCTAATGCTTGGAATTCAACCAATCATAGATAAGCTTAGATCACATGAAAATGCAACGTTAGATAGGTAAGACAAGCAACATTTGTGTTATAAATACCGAGAGAGAAATATATTGAATTAATAAAAAAAAAAATTCTATTCAAAAAATATTTGTGATATTTTGTTAGTCAGATTTCCAACATCAATTCTGTTTTTTAGTTGATGAAACCTGCCCAAGAATCTTCCTGATATTAGTATCTAAAATAATTTAATCTGTTTTCTTGATCTCTTTTAACCTAATGATTTCATTGAAAACGTTAAAGCTTTTTTGTGTAAATATTACAAATTTTGTATTTGTTGTTTTTCAGACATTTAGATTTTTTTGAGATGGTTAGGAATGAAGATGAAAAGGAGATTGCGAAAAAATTTGATTGTGTAAGCTTTTATATACATGTATATATTCTTGAACAGAGTAGTAATGTTCTCATAAATGTAAAAATATTCAACTACAGATTTCATTGGAGTTACAGTTATTGTTAACCCAATTTTGGCTATTCAAGGCAAATTAATTTGAGGAAATTTTGTGTAGTTGATTGGTTTATCAAAATCTTTTTGAAAAATATAACAGATAAGTCATTGTTATATATATATACATTTTTTGTATTTATTTTTCGTTCTAGGTTCATGTTGATACAAAGAGCGCATCATCAATGTTTGAATTATTAAGGAAGAAATTATCAATGTCAGTTTCCTATCAAAACTTGATGTCTATCTTACAACATCTAGTTATGTTACCTTGTAAGTTCTCATTTTATTTCACATCTATGAATCTTCAGCTTCATGTCACCAGTGTGTTAATGGGTCTTTTAGTCCTGCCTATCTATATCTAGATGGCCTGGCGCCTGGTACGTTCGGGCATTTTTATGCGCGAACTCTTAGTTTTTTTTTTTACTGGCACGCGCACAGGTACTATTTCTTTTTCTTTTACAAGTACCCAAATCGGGGATTTCGTGCGGAGGTAGTTCGGAGGTAAACAGTCTGTGAAGTACAACATTTGCCACTGTACCTGTGTATCGCTAATTATAAACCGAATGTGCGAAGACAGTTCATACATATCACTCAAAAATTTTTCAGTACAAACTCAGTTGATTCACGCTCGATTTGCTACTAAACAAACCCATCGGTTTATTTTCTCAACAGTGTGACCCGAAGTGACCGCGGATTTATTGACCTTGTATGAACTTATCCATAGCTATATCCTTACACCGAGAGAAATTATCTAGTATCGGTGAAAAGAACCATGGTCATCTGGTAGAAAATTACTTTTGTATTTTTTGGAACGGAAAACACTGTTTTTAGAAGCAAACTAACCTGCCGCACATGAGGAAGTCATTATACTAATAATAAAAGGCGAGACCTCTTTTTGCGGCGCAGGCTTATCACTGAGTAGTAAACCGTCCACAAACAATAATATAGGAAGCCTTAGTGACGAGTGTAGTAAGTAAACTATAGGTTTGAGTCGAGATTACTGGCTTTCAGTTTACTCTGTTTTTGCGATAACCAATTATGTGAGAAATACCATACTGACATTCGGTTTTTAAAAGTTGTACGCAAACTAAATGCGTTTGTTAGATACTGACAGAACAGCCCCGAGTCGAACAATCGCCGCCCGAGCTGTCTTCGTCAGCTAGTTTCACAATATCGTGCAATAGGTGTATTAATGTGATTTTTAGGTTTAACCCCGCAAACAATGCCAAAATAGTGTTTTCACTGCTTACAGAAAACTGAAATTTAAAAAAAAAAATTTTTATGAGGGTGACACTCCCTATCGAGCTGCCGCTCGGTCTGCGCAGCCTCATGCCTGGCACATACTGTCAACATTGTATATTTTTCCGTTTCCGCCCTTCCCCCCCACAATATATATTTCACGGCTACGTTGCGACGGTACCAGCATACCCAGTTGTTGACACCCATTACATCACTCCTGTCTAACAAATCATAAAGCTGTGGTGTTACGGTGGCGGCATAGTATTTCACCGTAACACCACAGCCACTCTAACCATTCATAATACATCTAACTATCCCTTTACAGCACTTCACTCCCTACACATTTCCCCTCGTCCTACTTTCCCAAACGTCAACAACACATCTCATACATCCAGTTCGCTGATTAACCCTTGTACCACGTCTACTGGATCCCAGGTTTTGAGTAAAATATTAAGGTAATAAAAAAGAATCACCATTAAAGTTACTCTTGAAATGCGTCATAGTTTCATCTGAATATTTTGAGGGTGGTGGTGGTGGTGGTGTATGGCGGGTGTGGTGCCAGGCAGGGTAAGCTTACTCTTCCGGACACCTGTTACCACTGTTTGTCGTGTATTTTGTACACGGTGAACAGCCCATATGCTGATTACACTATTTTGCTTTATTACACTATTTTGCCTATACCGTTTTTTTAGGACTTCGAATTTTGTCTAATGGTTTTGATTGTTTGTACTTGGTTTTATTTTATTCCTCCCACTACTAAAAAAGACCCATACTGCCCAAACAAATTATTGAAACAAAATTGAACAATATGTTAGACCCGAAGTTTTCTAGTTTGTGTTCAGTGGAGGATAAACTCTCTCTCTCTCTCTCTCTCTCTCTCTCTCTCTCTCTCTCTCTCTCACAGTTTTCCTTATTCTTTATTGTCCAGATTCTAAGAAGGATGTGACACCAGTGTGGATATTGATAGATAAAATGGTACAACAAGTTGTTTTACAGAGAAATGGACAGGATCCTGACGTTGCTCCCATGGAAGAAATTAACATTCAACAAATTACACATAGGTACATCTGTTAATTTAGAAATTATTTAAAGCTATGTTTGTCACTGATAGTTGTAGTATACAAATTGAATTAGAAATTATAAAACAATTAACATTTTCTTAATTCTGTTTAGGACATGAGCAATGTTTAAACATTGTCCTTCGGGAAAAAAACTAACAATGAATATACCAAAATCATTTTATTGACTTTTTATTGACTTTTGTGTTTTGTAGGTTAGCAAGTGAAAATGATGTGAAGTCATTCCAAACAAAATTACGAGAAGCAGAAAAACAGAATGATGAACTGAATGCTAAACTAGCAAAGCGAGAACGAGAATGTGAGGCCAGATTTCAGGAAAAGGTGAGAAGACTGTCAGTTTTGTGATTGTTTGATACTGTAATATTATCTAAATTGTGGATATAAAGGGAAGCAGTGATTATACTCGAGTGCATACTTCGAGGTAAATTTTCTTGTAAATCTCAGGTTTAACATAATATATCAAACGGCCATAATATGTGTAAGCTTTTTTTAAATACAAAAATGGGTGATGAGATCTACAAGTGCCATATTTTAAAAGAAAGAAAAAAGGCACTAGCTGTTGTTTAGTTTCATCCTAACCTTGAGAGATAAATTTTAAGTTTTAAATTTCTGCTTTTCAGGATGAACTGATGACAACATTAAACCATATGAAAACTAAATTAGAAAAAGAAATGGCTACTCATGCAGAAACCAAACAACAATTAGATACACTTATATCACGGCTAGAAGAAGTTAGCAACTATGTAAGTTTTATATTACGCTAAATTTAATCTATGTTAATAATATATACAAAGGTAATTGAGTAAGCTTATTCATTTTGTTTTCTACGAATGTCTAGATATGTCTAGATATTTGCGTATGTAATAATGGCATCTGTAAAATAACAATTTAATGTGACCCACCTTATTATGCTTTTACTTTTAAATGACAACTGTTGACAACAAAAATTTACCTAGTTAATCTCAAAATGAAATAGATAAAGAAATGACTTTTTGTAACATTAATAAATTCTAGTTGGAAGCTGAAAGGGGAGAGAAGCAGAAATTACAGCATTTGGTTAAAACTGGAAGTTTACCAGATGATGCCAAAATGGGATTGTCATCTGCTGCTAGTCAAATATTATCAGGAACTCTGTTGAATAAATCTGGGTATTCAATACCATCCTCCTTTGGACCTCCTACCCCTCCTCCTGCAGCTCCACCACCACCACCACCAGCTCCAGGAGCACCCCCACCTCCTCCTTTTGGTAAGATAATTCATGAATTCTATTGATTGATATTTATTGTACATCTTGGATGAGATATTTTTATAATAATTCTGAAGTCACACCGGTCTTTTGTGTCTCTAATAGTTTAGTTCAGTTTGATTTCAGTAGTTATCTGATTAACCTGATAACTTAATATTCTCCTCCCTAGGTGATAAAAGTCTGCCTGGTAAAAAGAAAAATATTCCTAAACCTGGTAATCCAATGAAATCATTTAATTGGACAAAGTTACCGGAGGTAAGAAAGAAATTTTCTATTCCAATATTATGTTATATTTTAGGCTGACCTTTCTTATTGATGAAATTATTTAGTTAATTTTTGAAAATATACTATTCAAAAAAAGTAGGGGATATTTGATTTTTAAGTGTTATTAAAGTCACCTAATGAAACTGACGAAGAAACAAATGACAAAATGAAATGAAGTTCACATTCATCGATTTATTCCAAATGACCGTTAGACTAAGTAAGGCACAGACTGACCATTATAAGGGTAAAATGATACCCGGGGTCAAACAGCAAAGTTACCACAGCATCACAACCAAGTCAGTAACGGGTAAATCCTCCTCTGTTTGCCAAACAAGCATTGATCCGACGTGGCATACTCCTAATGAGACGTCTAAGGTCATTTTGGTCCAGATTGTCCCATTCCTGTTGCAACGCAGCAGCAAGTTCTTGGACATTGGCAGGACGTTGTTGACGTTGACGTAACCTCTGTCCAAGCATGTCCCAGACATGCTCGATGGGGGAGAGGTCGGGACTCAGTGCTGGCCAAGGTAATGTGGTGATGTTCTGTTGTTGGAGGTAACCTGTAACGATCCTGGCCCTGTGACATCTTGCGTTGTCATCCTGGAAGATGAAACGGCGGCCATGACGTCGTGCGAACGGCACAACATGGACTGCCAAGATGTTGTCCCGGTAGTACTGGCCTGTAACACGCCCTGCAACAACATGTAAAGCCGTTCTTCCAGCAACAGTGATGCCTCCCCACACCATAACAGAACCACCCCCAAATCGATCATGTCTGATGACGTTAACGTCTTGGAAGCGCTCGTTTCGACGACGCCACACCCTCCTACGTCTGTCCAAAAAATCAACAGTGAACCTTGACTCATCTGAAAACATCACATTGCTCCAGCGTCGATTATCCCAGTGTTGACGATCCCTACACCAACGACGCCTTGCCTGAATGTGATGATCTCTCAAACAAGGGATCACGCGAGGACGTCGGGCGCGAAGGTGACCCCTATGCAGTCGATTCCGAATCGTCTGGCCACTCACTCTCACACCAGTGTCTGTTTGAAGACGAGCGCTGATCTGATTTGCTGTAATGACACGATTTCTCAAGGCCAAGGTACGGATAAATCGATCCTGGGCTTGAATTGTCGCCCTTGGTCGACCTGAGCGTGATCTGTCCTGTACAGATTGTGTATCACGGTATCTGGACCATAGCCTGCTTATGACAGACTGAGAAACATTCATCGTCCGCGCCACAACCGCCTGTGTTGTGCCGATCTGTAGCATGCCAAGGGCACGTAACCTTTCATTTTGGGTAAGCCGACGCATATCAAAATTTGTTTTCTGGTCACTAAAACAATTAAACTGATGTTTCCACCCTGGAATTCAATGCCACAATGACTGTAACATTCAAAGTCAGAGTCGTGCAAATCTTGGGTTGGACCCCCATGATGATCCCAAGCATCACCTGCATTCCATGCGGTAGCTATTGGTGCGTTTGGGCTTCACATGTAACTGGAAATGTTTCTTCTGTTAGGTTCTATAGTGACTTTTTTCGTAGTCATTTGCATATTTTAGTATTATGCCCCCAAAATCAAATATCCCCTACTTTTTTTGAATAGTATAGTAGCTTCAAATACTGAAACATCGGTAATAAATGATTTTGTTTCTAATATATTGATATGTATAAATATATTTTTTTAGAATAAGATTAATGGAACAATCTGGAAAGAATTGGATGATAGCAAGGTATGTACCACTATTGGTTTGGTGGGAACAGTATCCTCATTACACGATTTTATCGGAGATCTCACATTCCTACATATTTTTGCAACCACTTTTTTTTTGTCTGAATATTTTCGTATGGCATAGAATTATAAAGGAAACAAAAATTCAGGCAAATCAGTATTGAGGTGATAAAATTAACAACTAAATAGCTACATGAAAGAATTGAGGCACTCATTTCTAAAATATTTTTGGGGGGTTAAAAAAAGTATTTTATGTATTTATAATTATTTAATATTTTACGAAGAAATGCACCAATAAAAAGTTTTTATATAAATTTACTATTGTTTATTTTTTAGTTATATAATTCCTTGGATTTAAATGATTTTGAAAAGAATTTCTCAGCATATCAGCGACAGGAAGATGGAGAAAATGATACCAAAAATGTGGCACCTAAAGTTCGTGAATTAACTGTAATTGATGGACGTCGAGCTCAGAACTGTACAATTTTATTATCAAAATTAAAATTAACAAATGAGGAAATTAAAAAAGCTGTTTTAAGTGTGGATGAAGCAGAAGATATCCCTAAAGATATGGTAGAACAGGTTTGTGTTGTTTTTAAATCTAAGTGAATTTAGCTAGAAAATAGAATTGCAATTCAGTGATGGCGGGTTTTACCGGTGCCGCGCTACCCTTGAAGTGACGTCACATCCCGTACCAATGGAAACATTAAACAGTTTTCCACATGGGCATTGTCCATGTGTTGTAAACTGGACGCACTGCCATTTATCAACAAAATATTTAAATTGGATTCCAGAAATATTACAGAAAATTGATTAAAATTTGAACAGAATTAACCCTTTATAAAGTCTTATTAAATATCTATACTATTTGTCCATTGGAATTAAATATCATAATTTTATACGAAAAATTGATATCACTTACTTCAAACAAATATATAGTTTTTGCCCAAATGATACCATTTCTGGTGACAGTGAAAATGTTAAATTGGTTTGACCTAGACATAATTTGCATTAGGCATCAACTGGTGAAAACAAATTGAAAATCGAATAATAATTGATACTTTTATGGGCAAAAATCCCTGAAAAGTGACCGATGCAAAATCGCCTATTTCTTGGCAATGCACCAAGCTAGAAACTAATTTTGACATAGATTGTCTTCGTATGGATTAATACTATAAGTTTGTGAAAATTACAAAGAAATATTTTGAAATATGAAAAGCCTGAATGGGTTGTAAATGACACATTTTTATACGCCCACATGAATATGTGGACATATATTGCCGTTGCCCCGTTTGTCTGTGTGTCGTCCACAATTTCTTGTGACCGCTCTAACGCCAAAAGTTATCATCCGATTGTTTAAAAATTTATATATGTTGTTTACATTAGTGAGATGAAGAATCCTATTTAATTTCAATAATTTCCGTTTATTACGTCTAGAGTTATGGTCCTTGTTTCACTTTTTTGAACCTTGTGAACACTCTTAACGCCGAAAGTTATCATCCAATTTTTGTGACATTTATATGCATTATTTAAATTGGTGAAACGAAGAATCCTATTGTATTTCAGCAATTTCCGTTTATTACATCTAGAGTTATGACCGCTGTTTCACTTCCAAAAGTTATCATCTGATCTTTGTGAATTTCCGTTTATTACGTCTAGAGATATGGCCCTTGTTTCACTTATTGAACTTTATGAACGCTTTAACACCAAAAGTTATCATCTGATCTTTGTGAAATTTATATGCATTATTTAAATTAGTGAAACGAAAGAAGCCTATTGAATTTCAGCAATTTCCCTTAATTACTTCTAGAGTTATGGCCCTTGTTTCAATTTGTTGCACCCTGTGAACGCTCTAACATCTAAATTTATCTGCCAATTTGTATGAAAATTATATGCATTATTTAAATTACTGAACCGTAGAAGCCTATTGAATTGTTCAACCTTGTTAATGTTCGATTGATGAAAGTTATGATCCGATGATAATGTATGAAATTTATATGCATCATTTATATTTGCATCAATTTCCGTCAATTATTTCTAGAGTTATGGCCCTTGTTTTACTTTGAGAACCAGCGAATGTTCAAATGACAAAAGTTATCGTCCGATCTGTATGAAATTTATGTATTATTTGAACTAGTAAAATGAAAAAGTCTGTCAAATTTCAAAATTTTCTGTAAATTACTTCCAGAATTAAGGCCCTTGTTTCAGTTTGTAGAACCTCGACTCCTCAAAGGACAAAAATCATAATCTGATCTGTATGAAATTGTCTTGTAAATGCCCCAGATGTCGCCCGCTCGAACAATTTGGCGGTATCCCTTTTGGTAAACAACTATATGTTGCAAGGGGGATTGGATGGCCGGATAGCCCGCGCCTGTGCACTGTATCATTAGGTCTGTCATTTAGTCAAATGGCGTGGTTTCGATTCCCCAGTTGTACGTGACAAGGAGTAGAGTCACCAGTTCTCCAGTTTCCTCCCACTGCTAAAGACCCCAGATGTTGAACCAGATGTTAGTCCCGTAATGACCTAGTTTGTGTCGAGTGGATGTTAAACCCAATTTCTCTTTTTATCTTTTACTGGAATATTTAATCATCATATTAATCTTTTTTCCACAGTTATTAAAGTTTGTGCCAACAGTTGAGGAAATACAGTTATTATCAGAACATAGTCATGAGAGAGAGAACATGGCGAGAGCGGATAGATTCCTTCTAGATATGAGCAAGTAAGTATATCCAGCCTCACTTTGTCATCTGAAAGCAAAGATGGGACAAGTACACCAGTTTTCTAATTACCAGTTATTCTTATCAATTAAAAATAAACTGAAATTGCAAAGGTATATAATTATGGTACATTTATGCTTCATTTATGCTTACTGTTAATCACTGTAAAAAATATTACATGTATATTATATTAATTTACAATACCAGGTATATGTAGTTTACTTTATTGATAACGTTATTATTAAAGGGACATTATCGGAGATTAGATAAAGAGTTGACAGTTCTCGCTAGTATGATAGTTAAAAAAATCGATAACGTAAATTTCAGTCAAATTGCTCCACTCTGAACCCTTGATCATCGTTTGCGCACGAGGGAGAGCTATTTTGTCTGGCAGTTTTGGTCTGATTTTCACGAAAATTCAAACTCAACCATCATTAGTGTGTAACAGTGATATATTTATAAACAGTTTTTAAATCGGATAAAAATTGTGATCTCTAGAGGTTCCACAAGCTAAAAAAACCCATAATTTTTCAAACAATCGGGGGCCATAATCCAGGAATCGAGATCTTTGTGATATAAACATACATTTCAAGTTTCATCAAAATTGAATAAAAATTATGACTTCTATTACATACTTTTATACTATTTGTGTAAAAAAAGCAGCCATTTTATCTGGCAGTTTCGGTCTGATTTTCATGAAATTTAAACTCAACTGTCATTAGATTGTAACACTGATATATTTAAACGTTTTTTTAAAATCAGAAAGAAAATTGTGACCTCTAGAGGGTCCACAAGCTAAAAACTGGATTTTTTGTACAATCAGGGGCTATAATCCAGGAAGTTAGTATCTGATATTTGTGAATATCGAAAGGAACAGAGATCTTTGGGATATAAACATATATTTTAAGTTTCATCAAAATCAGACAAAAATTGTGACCTGTAGAGTGTCCACAAACAAATTGTCGACAGACGGACAAGGGTGACGACAATATAAGTCCACATAAAAATGTGGGCATATAAAAATGTATTCCAATCGGCTAAATATCGCAGGCTAGCGATGGCACAAGAGTTGATTATGGTCTGGATAAGTTGATTAATGTCGAATTAATAATTTAGATAACATTTCAAGTCTAAAGAAAGACCTGCAATAGCCAGTTTTAGCTCTTGCATAATGTATGTTTAACTTTGCTTTTGCAGAATATTACATTATGAACAAAGATTAAAAGCTATTTATTTCAAGAAAAAATTCCAGGATCGAAGAATAGATTGTAAAAATAAGATAGATGGTAAGATAGTTGGTACAATTGTTATACGCACACAACCCTTCGTCTGTTTTATATGAAGTCAGACTAGTGTTCTTTAAGTACTAGTTACCCATCCAATTTTTGGCCAATAAATAGTACCTGAGGTACCACTAACAAATGATGAAAATTTTTGAAAATGCCTCAACACCATCTCAATAACTCACACCATCAACTTTTGTCTCCAAAAGACTTTTTCATATACTCTCATAAACATAAAGATTAATAAAGGGTCAAATCTATTGAGGTTGGCCTGCGGTGTAAATGTTATGATAGATGATGCAAGAAACAAAATGGTTTGTAACGTAGGCCATCTGCTCTACTTCTCAAATGAATGTTTTCACAATATCAATCAATTTTTACATTCCATTTCAGCTGTGTTTGATGCATCTAGACAGTTGTTCCGATGTCGAAGATTAAAGAAACTATTAGAGATAGTGCTAGCCATTGGTAATTATATGAATCGTGGTCAGAGAGGAAATGCTGTAGGATTTAAAATACAGAGTTTAAACAAAATGATTGACACTAAATCGAGTATAAATAAAAACGTAACATTGTTACATTACCTCATAGATGCCGTGCTAGAAAAAAAGGTAAATATGTATATTTCAAGGACACACAAGGCATAGACCTGTGTTAGACCATTATATTCAGTCCTTTGTTTCTCTTTTCTCTAAAACATCTATTTATAAACATTGGATTTCAAGGGAATGCTTTCTAAATATGCTTTCATAATTTACAAAATTAGGTAAATGGCACCTGGATTGGGCTACTTTTAATCAATAGTGCTTTGTGCTAAATCATGTTTCAAATCATGTTACATAGATTGGGTCTCTTTAGATTTTTATATGCCCACATTTTCATTTAGATGCATTATGCCATTGCACCTGTTTGTCCGTCCAGACGGCCGTACATCCACAATTTGTTTGTGGATAACTCTACAGGTCACAATTTTTATCAGGTTTTGACGGAACTTGAAATGCAATGCTATCTCTCAAAGATAACTACATGGATTATGGCTCCTGATTTTACGAAAAATCATGGTTTAAAATTGTGGACACCCCAGAGGTCACAATTTTCATCTGATTTTGATGAAACTTGAAATGCATTTTTATAATCCATATTTTGTCCTGAATTATTGCCCCTGATTATATGGAAGATCATGTTTTTAGCTTGTGGTCCCTCTAGAGGTCACAATTTTTATCCAATTTAAAAAAAAAATGTTATATCTTTATATCCCAAATATCTCAGTCCCTGTCGATATTCGCGTATTTCAGAGCATAACTTCCTGGATTACAGGCCCGTAGCTAGCGGGGGAGCAAGGGAGACAGCCCGACCAATGTCACTCGGTTTTATGGGGCACCCATACTGATATGGGCACGTTGGTCGTTGGCTTCGTATAGCGTCCAATGGAAAGGGCTAGCTATGTGCATGGATTATGGCCCCTAATTGTATGAAAAATCGCAGGTTTTTTTTAGCTTGTTCTCTGTCCATCTTTTGCAAAATGTGGGTGTATGAGTATCTTGCCTGGCAATCGCTGGTTAACTACAATTATGATTTTTGATCAGAGTTAAAGTTTACACAGGTTTCTTGTCTTTTCTAGTTTCCTGATATACTGAAGTTAGAACAAGATATTGTGTCAACAAGGCAGGCTGCTAAAGTCACGTTAGTATTATTTTCTCGGAAAGTATTACAGAAGAAAAAATAAGTGATATAGCAGATAAAGTTTTTTAATATGCCCACATTGAAATGTGGTCGTACATGTATATATATTGTCGTCGCTTCTGTCTGTCTGGTGTTCACAGTTGCTTGCTTGTGGAAGCTCTAGTTGTATTTGGAAATGTTATATATTCTTTTCAATTCTTTATTTAGATTCAAAGAATTGGATCAAGAAATGACAGCAATGAAAAAAGGTTTAAATGATATACAAAAGGTGAGTAGACAGATTATATGTGTAGATCCTTATTAATGTATGAGACTTTATTTCATATCAATACCATTTTAACTAGTTCATTTTAGACTTCTATAGCAAGTTCTGGTAATAAAATATGATCAATTTTATTTATTTTAGGAAGTAGAATTTTTTAAAACCCAGTATGATGGAAGAGAAGATAAATTTGTGAACACAATGAGTAATTTCTGTACAGTAGCTGCTTATAATTTCTCCGAGTTAGAAGATTCCTACACAGAAATGAAACAAAAGGTAAAATGATTGCATGACATATTTCTCTTTTAAGACCGAGAGCAGTAATTCTGTGGATTTAATTCTTTATTTAGATGTAATTTGAGTGATTATTTTAAACTGTGACACCATAGCCTTTTAATTGGGAGGGTCTCTGTGTACATGCAAACACCAAATTTATATCTTTGTTAATATTTATTTGTCAGTCACATGATTTTTTTTTTTTTTTTAGATCATACCAATTTTGGAGCTTTGTAGAAAATTTTCAAGTAAATATTACCATTGATGCCTTTAATTTTGTGTTTTATAGTTTGATATGGTAGTGAAGGCATTTGGCGAAGATCCTACATCAATACAACCAGAAGAATTCTGTGGTGTATTTGATATGTTTCTTACCTCTTTTAATGATGCTCAGGTGGAGAATGATAAATTACGCCAACAGAAAATGGAGGAAGAAAAAAGAAGTAAATTGGAAGACCAGGTAGGATTAATATTTTTTTTTTTTTTTTTTATGAATACAAAATGTCCCAGGATCTGGTTAACCTTGCCAGAAATCATGGGTACCAGCTATGTGAAATATATCCTATAGATAGGCTATCTTTGGACAGAACACCCCAAAATATGTTTTCAGTGGAAGTTTCACTAATTCAAGTTTTAGGATTAATATGTCTAACAAATCCTAAAAACAGAGATGTTCCTCTGAGTTTGCTCATTATGCACCCAGGGTTCTTTCTTTCTTTGAAGCGACAGTTTTTTCAGATGGCCAATTTTTAAATGTGTAAACACTGGAATAGAAAACATACAGGTAAAAATCTCTGATCACCAACTATTTTGTTCTATCGTAGTTAAAGAAAGAAAGGGAGAAGCGAATACTATTGCGAAGAACGAGTACTGCTGAGAACAATGGAAGCAACAAAAGTTTATCAACTTCGGATTCTACAGAAAAAGGTAAATTGAATTTTACTTTCAGGTAAAAAAAATCTGAGGTTTACCATAGTGAGATAGCTTTCTTAAAATGAATATTTTAACTTGGTAGCTGAAATAGACTATAAAACAGTACCGATGTTTTCATTACATACATTTGTTTTGTTTGTTTTTTTTTTTAAATTATATATCTTGGCTGAGTGCATATCTAACAGTATATTTATGTTGTGTTCTGTATTATTCTTTGTAGTAGTTTGTAGTTTTTCCGTATTGTCTATTAAAATTCTATGATGGTGCCTAATATAATTTTATCTGATATTTTCAGGTGAATTTGATGATTTAATATCTGCGTTAAGAACAGGTGATGTTTTTGGTGAGGATATGGCTAAGATGAAACGTACTCGACGTCGAGTCAGTAATAATACTGATATGTCACGAGAGAGGATGGGACAAAATCGATAAGATTATCTGAATTATTTAATTAGAGTTAAGATTAACTGGGTTTAATGATGAAATATTAATTCTTATTGAAGGTTAAGTAAAATATCATTAGGGTTTTTGAGCCTAAAGTCTAAACTGAGCCTAGAAACATTGGAAAATTTTAGTTTTACATTTTGGCTTTCTGGTTTATTCAATCTGTTGTGTGAGTGTCTTGTATTAGTAAATATTTTATGAATTGTACACAGGAGTACTACCCTAAAACCATAGTTAAGCCTTCCATTTGAATTAATCTCTCAACTTGAAATCCCTGTTAATTAAATCAGTAACTTTATTAGTTTCAGTCTTTCATTTAGTTTTATAAAACCAGAGAAGAATTCAAGATATTTTTTTTGATATTTTATGCAAATTTATCAAAGTTATTTACAAGAATAGAGATTTTATTTATATCATTTTGTATGTTTTTTTTTCTATATCAATCTCTTTATAAATGAGTTTATTTAATTAATACCTATTTTACATTATTAACTAATATCATTCATTTGTCAAAAAAATGTGACTTTCCTGTACTTGGCACATAATGTTCTGGTTATCTCATCAAAATGAAAATATTATATTCACAAATATTAATTATATAAATTGATTAATACGAGTAGGTTCTAAAATGTCCCTTAAATTCTGAGTTGAAGTCTGAAAGGAAACAATACTTGGCTATTTTTTTTGTCATATATTTTGATTACTAGTCAATTGTTTTGTTTAATGTTCTTTTTACCAAAAGTTCTTGCACCAAAGTTGTAGTTTCACAGAATTTGAAGGGACCATATTTAAAGCATATCCAATTTATTCCCTTATATATTATTCAGGGATTATATACATTATTCAATTCTTATATAAACAACAAGGGTATACAAGTAGGATATCATGAGCAGTGTTTGAATGTTTTGTTTATTGTTGTCAGTCTGTGATTGTAAATGTTCTATATTAATCAAACTTTGTATAAGTATGTGCTATTGTCATAATACAAAAATGTCAATGCACAATTAATTTGACCAATGACATTACCATATAAACTGTACTGTATACCATTTGTGTTCTATTTGAAGAAACCAAAGCATCTTTATAAGTTTTAAAGGGTAACAAAAAATACTATTGATTATGCATTCTGTGTCTAATTCTAATAAACATTTAATAATTATACACAAAAATTCCTAGAAATTATGTACATGTAAAATGACAATTTTATCTCCAATTTAAAGGGCAAAATGCAATATATAAAAATATATAATATGAATATGTCAGTGCTTATGTTAGTAACTTTTTTTTCATATTTGTAAATAAATCGCATGAAAGTCATCACACTTAACAGATTTTATTATTTATTTGAAAGGATGTTTCTGAGTGGAATGGATAGTGGGTAGCGTTGTCCATAATGTATTAATTATCAAATTGTTTATAAACCATACCTCCAAAGATAATTTCATGACCGTTTATAATCTTTAAAATATGTAGCTCAAGATTTTGATAGCTACCATTAATCCCATTTACATTACAAATTTTAAGCATACCAGGCACGGTACCAGGTACGACAAGCTTCGCTTTTTTGTAGTGTAAATGGGTCAAACGTAAGCGTGCCGCGCCTGGTACGGTGCCAATCTGGCCCACTGAAGTGAGGTGGTCTCGGAACGGTACCAGGACTGGCTCGCTTTAAATTTTCGTAGTGTAAACGCTAACCAGTCTGAGCACGGATTACTGCGCATGCGCCAAATGAACCTTGACCTTTTTCCCCACCAACTGTCATCAGTTTTGTCAAAATGGCTGCTCATACTAAATCAACCATCATAATTGTTTTCATCTGGGTAATTTGTATAGGGACTGAAATTAACTTTTCTGTGAAGAGTTCCACATTCTGTGAGACCGGTTATTTTAGAGTAATATAAACGGGTCAATTTCTTGAAATTTATCGCGGCCTGGTACCGTGCCCAGAACGGCACGCTTATCGTGGCCAAGTGTAAACGGGGCTATTGTGTCATGTGTAATACCATTTTGGAGTTTGGATTGAATACTTTTCAATTTCGCAAACACATGTTTCAGCCAACCTAATAAATGTTTTATAAGTGTGGGATGAAGCACGAGACTGAGGTTATGCTGGGGAAAGAAAGACTGAAGAAAATAACCTGAGAAAAAGAAAAACCGAGGACGGTAAGTCGAGGGTTCTTTCTGAAGTCTTTCTTCCCCAGCATAACCGAAGTCGAGGACTTTATCTTGCTTATAAACCATCCATGTTTACATGTACGCAAAATGAGAATATCCCACAATTCCCGTAAGAAAAACCTTATATCATGTTTTCTTAAGAAAAAACCCCACCCTATTCTAGAAGAATAACCTGTTAAAGGTTTAAAGAAAAACTTTCAGAAGAATAATCCCAAATTCCTGTGTATATATCCAAAGCCACCCCCTGACATTCAGATTGCAAGTTATTCCAGGCATAGAATATACCCCAAAGATCAAAGAGATTTACCATTATGGGTTTATAAATAATGAGAAATCATAGAAAGCTATAGAAGCAGTCATTATATTGCCTGACTAATGTGTTCAAAAAAATAGAATTTAGCTGCAGTCTTCAAAATGTCTCAGCTTGGATTCAACTGGATTTAAAACCGGCCTAACAATAATTTTTGTGGACAACAAAATGGTGATGAACTTATTCCACAGATCTTTGTAAATACTGAACAGAATTGAACCAGTTTTTGACTGATATTCTTATTAGAGATTCATCTTGCACAATATTTCCAGTGATTGCTATTGCTTAAAATTACGCATTGGGACTTTACACCCAATAACCACAAGCTTTTAATTTCACATTCACAGGTTAAGCAGCGGTTGATATTTGGTGATAATCTTTATAGTTTGTGTAAATCAGATAGCAAACTATTTCCACGGTTGTCATTCGATATAAAACCTGCAGGCTCCTCCCTTAAGATTTTTATTTCGAGTAACAACCTGGAAAGTGAGGATTTCAAATCAAAACCTGGAAAAGTGGTTGCTTTGTACAACATATCACTCATCATACGAGGTCATGTGACACCAGTTAGATGATGTGTTTTGATTTAAGTTTGATCGGATGTTGTGTTTTGATTTAAGTTTGATCGTGTAAATTAACTTTCAAAGTGAACACATTTACTGAATGAACAGGTAGCCGCCACACGTACCACCTCAATGTGGGTTGAGAAATATGTTCTAAATACTCAATGAACAATTTCGTCCCATTGAGTCCTTGGATTTCTTCCTTGAATTATTTCCATTTCCACTATTGTACTGGAAAAGTGATTTAAAATACCTCTTCTTTACACTGTAACCCAGGTATCGTTTAGTCTTGTGTATCTAGCACTAATTTCTTTCACATTCGTTCAATATCATATCTTTGTTTAAAAATTCGTAAAAATCGTTTAAAATCACCAAAAATCTTCTAATTTGTACATGTGTCCAGTTTAAAGCTGACTGATTAATTTTGATAATGACTGTCCAATTTACAAGTATTTAATTTTCTGATCACTGTTCAAAAATTAATCATTATACATCATTAATCAGTTGGGTTGTTTATTTTTTAACAATGATTGAGAAATTAAACACTTGTAAATTGGACACTCATTATCAAAATTGAATGGTCAGCTTTAAACTGGACAGAAGTACAAATTAAACGATTTATGGCGATTTTAAACAGTTTTTACAAATTTTTAAACAAAGATTGGATATTAAACGAATGTGAAAGAAATTAGTGCTAGATACACAAGATTAAACGATACCTGGGTTACAGTGTTATATGTAAGAAACTAAACAGTTTAGTAACTAAATGAGCAGTTAGCAAAATAAGACATGATGCAGGCTATGGTTTCTAGAACACCTACCACCCAGCTCGCTCCATACCGAAATCAGCCCACCCTTGAATTTTATTGTGTTTTGATCAACCCAAACTCTTTACCAACAATTTGATACATGAAAAAACAGTGCTATAATTTTGTTGAATGTAAATATTTTATTTACAGATTAAATTGTACAATTTAATTTTCTAAACAATAAAAACAATTGCAAGTTATCAAAATATCCAAATGATATATATACTTCTTAGTTAGAAAATACATACATAAAGATAGGTATAATAAATAAACAAGCAGTTAGAAATGTATGCAATACCAGTTATCAATCCACTTTACAGCTGAATAAAGATACTGGTGCTTAATTAATATACCAGTTTAAATGAGAACTCTGTTAAATGCCTTGGGGAGACCGAAAATTGCAATCAAAAAATATTTAAAATTTCCTGTTATGGCAATGTTATTAACTTTTAAGGGTCAATAAGTTGATCAATTTGTTGAAAATAACCACCCGTCTTTACACATTGGTAATCAGATTGTGCGATATTCACAAACAGCTGAGGTAACATTTATATTTGTCTAAACTTTATTCCCATGTCCCCCAATAGATAAAACCAATTTACCTTAAAATAACAAACACCAAACAGAGAAACAAGAATATAAACATTATACACTAATTAACTATAACATAAAAGTCCCAATATTCCAGCAAATAGACTCTCAGACCATACACTATCAGATTTATTCTTACCAAAATTTTGCATCTGATCAAAATGAGACAATGCTAACATAACTTCTGAACAGTTAGAATTCACACATTTATTTCTTTATAATTGTCTGGGGCTTGAAACATAACCCACTTCCATCCATTTGCTGTCTGCTGCATAGGAACTTTAATTAAACCCTACTTCTTAAAAAACACAAAGAACTACAAGTCTAATTTTCCAGATGTGCAATTTAAATTTGGCTCTGTAGACAGACAATATTTCATTGAAATTATGCCCCACTCTCATTGATATGGTTGAACTGAAGTTAACTGTATTGACAGTCATCATCATAGTCATATATGTATTTACAAGTTTAACTGAGATATGAGAAAGAAGGAAAAATATCAAACTGCTAGCAAAATCATAATAATACTTATAATCACAGTTCATCAAACAATAAACAAAATAGATATATAGCACTAAAATAAATAAATCTAAATAACATATATATTCATTAAATATTTACAGAAAGCGCTGCATTTATTATTTTGGAGATTTTATACCACTCCACGATTAAGAAACAGTCAATACTTTTGAGTTGATTCCTAAACCATTACTCATTTTACTTGGAAGTTAACACTGTAACCCAGGTATATCGTTTAATCTTGTGTATCTAGCACTAATTTCTTTCACATTCGTTTAATATCCAATCTTTGTTTAAAAATTTGTAAAAACTGTTTAAAATCACCATAAATCGTTTAATTTGTACTTCTGTCCAGTTTAAAGCTGACCATTCAATTTTGATAATGAGTGTCCAATTTACAAGTGTTTAATTTCTCAATCATTGTTAAAAAATAATCAACCCAATTGATTAATGATGTATAATGATTAATTTTTGAACAGTGATCAGGGAATTAAATACTTGTAAATTGGACACTCATTATCAAAATTAATCAGTCAGCTTTAAACTGGACACGTGTACAAATTAGATGATTTTTGGTGATTTTAACCATTTTTGACAAATTTTTAAACAAAGATTTGATATTAAACAAATGTGAAAGAAATTAGTGCTAGATACACAAGGTTAAACGATACCTGGGTTACAGTGTAATTAACTATTGTGAATACTACATACTGCAATAAAACATTTGCTATTACCTATTAACATTCCATTTTCAAAATACATAAAACAAGAGAAAAACATTTACCAACCAGAAAAACCACACACAAAAATAGTATATATATACATTTTCTAATTTCTATGAATACAAAGTTACATCAACAAACTCTTAAAAAATTAACATATTTTAGGTTTTAAGTTAAATGATTTAAGGAAATGGTTAAACAATATGGGAATGTTAAAAAATTCATCGAAGTAAATTCAAACAATTCACGCATTGTGTGGAGTCCAAAAAATATAATCCTGTTGTTGCAGACAGTAAAACTGTGACCAAATTTTAAAAAAAAGAAAAATGTTTGATGACCTTATTATCAATGACTTAATAAATGCCAACTTGTCCCCCAAAAACATGTCAATCAGGCCAATGTTATGTATCGATGCCAAGTGATATATTCAACCGATCTATGTTCAATATATATACTAGATATCAAACCGACATCAATACTGACTGTAAATTGACTTCAAATTAGAAAGAAACCTGAATCTTACTATTCTAAAAATAATTTTCAAGTAAGTTAGCATTCTGTGGTCAACAAATAAAAGTTCAATTTTCCTGACATCTTTCCTGATGCAGTTCTGTCGAATATTTCACTGAGAAACAATTTTGTGAAACTAAAAAATTGAGAAAATTCTGTAGAAATATGAATTATAAGAAATTAGTTTATAATACATGTCTATATTTTACAGTAATAAAATTAAAAACATTATAAGATATATTTATATACAAATATACAATTTACATTCAAATAGAAATAAATAGCAAAAAAATATTTAATACAATGACCATATATTATTATCATATGCACAATATAACTATTTCTCTTTTACTTATTTCACTGGGAAATCACTAAACCTCAACCATCAATCCAAATACTACAGATATGTCAGATTACATTCTGTGTAGCTATAAATCATAAAAATATTGCCACCTGATGTTATCACTAACCATCTATTTGACTTATATTCGTCATGAAATTAACGCTCATGCAGAAAGGGAGATTTTGAAGGGCTTGCTCATATGTGTGGGTAAGAGAGAGGGTACACAGTGCAAATACCCTAAAAAACACACGACACTGCATTTGACTACACTTGACTACAAATCAGAATATATCGAAGTTCAAAATCAATGAGTCAGTTCTTATTTCATCATGAACTAAAGGCAACCACCATAAAAACAATAATTTCATATTTCATAGTAACTGAAACCATGTGTTAGATACTGAAAAATGATTTGCTATTTCGTCCAATTAGGGCAGAAATGGCAAAGAATATGTTTACATTTCAATAAGACAGTGTCACAGGACACCAGCTTCAAGAATAGATACAATTATTATGACCTACTGCATAATATAAATTTGTAACCAAAAACATAAGAAATCATGAAATCCAGATGTAAAGATAGGTTGCCAGGCAACAAAACATACGCCCATAGAAGCTAAGTCGTCCGAGCCGTCAACAAGGGTTGTCACATTTTTTTTTGTCAGTAATGAAAACATTTACAACACACTAAAATTTAATAACGAGTAACAACCCATTAAATAATTATCAGAAATTTTTAGAATTTGTTTCGATTGTTTGTCTCATGACCTTAAACACTGTGTATAAATTTATATTAACTTTAGTTTAGTCTCTAGTGCTTCAACACGATTTTTCAAGTAATCAAGGGCCTCAACTCTGACAATAATTATCAAAAATCAATGGGCTTCGTCTCATGACCTTAAACACTGGACATAAATTTAAAGTCAATCGGATTAAGTTTAGCCTCTTACTAGAGTGTCCACAATATTTTTCAAGTTGATCAAGGGCCATAACCCGGCAGTAATTATCGGAAATTGTTGAAAATCAAAGGGCATCTTTGTCTCATGACCATAAACACTGTGTATAAATCTAGTCAATCAAATATTAAATTTATCCTCCAGAGTGCCACAAGATTTTTCAAAGTGATCAAGGACCATAATTTTGGTGGTAATTATTGGAAATTGTTAAAAATCAATAAGTTTCTTCGTCTCATGAACGTAAACACTGTTTATAAATTTATAGTCTATCAGGTAGTAAATTTAGCCTCTAGAGCGTCCACAACATTTTTCAATGTGATCAAGGACCATAACTCCGGCAGTAATTATCAGAAATTGTTGAAAATCAATAGGCTTTGTCTCATTACCGTAAACACTGTGTATAAATTTAAAGTCTATCGATAGTACCTTTAGCCTTTAGAGCGTCCACAAGATATTTCAAAGTAATCAAGGGCCATAACTCTGGCATTTATTATTGGAAATTGTTGAAAATCAATATGCTTCTTTGTCTCATGACTGTAAACACTGTGTATAAATTTAAAGTCAATTGAATAGCAACTTTAGCCTCTAGAGCGTCCACAAGATTTTTTACAAAGTGATCAAGGGTCATAACTCTGGCAGTAATCGGAAATTGTTGAAAATCAACAGGCTTCTTCGTCTTATGACCTTAAACACTGTGTATACATTTAAAGTCAATTGGACATTCACTTTACGCCTCTAAAAGGTCCATAAGATATTTCAAAGTGATCAAGGGACATAACTCTGACAGTTATTATCATGACCATAATCATTGTGTATAAATTCACTCAGATATTAACATTAGCCTCTAGAGCGTCCACAAGCAATTGTGGATGACAGACCGGCTGGCGGACGGGAGCGACGGCAATATACGACCACATTTCAATGTGGGCGTATAAAAGCAATATTTCTTCACAAAAGAGGTTTATGAAATCCTTGTATCCAGAACAGAACAATATTTAATTTCACTGGCGTTACACTAGCTTTAACTGTCTATTGAATAAGTGGGTGTGTACATTTAGATCACATGCATGTAGATCATTCATTAATATCATATGCAAATATCCTGAGTTTACTGCCTAAAATTTTATGATTTTCCAAGGGCCGTGGTGGAATTTTTTACTAAACAATACCAAGAAATGTAAATATAATTGAGATATGGAGAAGATTGAAATAGGTAACAGATTTCTTTGATATTACAATTTGGAAAGGAAAAATCTCTAGCATGGCATATGTAGCAGTAAGTTAGTCTAAAAATGTATAATGTAAGTACTGATGAGAAGTAAACCTCATCCCTTTTAATTTCTGATTATCACTGTTCTACCTTCATTTTTAATACAAACTCAGGCAAATTATTAAGACTATGATATGCTTGGCTTTAAGACTTTGCTTAATAATCACAAAATATTTATAATATCTAATCATTTCAATAAATGCCAAAGTTCTCAAAAATAGATTGTTGCTGAGAAGGAGTGAATGCTCGTACAGATTCTACTGTACTTCCAAATGCAGCATCTTTATGAATATTTTGGAACTAATGAATCCTTCTTTTTCCGTCTTACCCAAACCTATTTCCCTTTTGTGAATTTTTTTTTGTTGCGTTTTTTCTTTAAAGAAAGAAAGTCTCATAAGACTTTCATGAAATCTCAAACTAATTTACAAAATTTGCAAAATGTAAATCTATTTTCAACTATCGAAAATTTGTCATCAAAGATTATGCCATTCAATTGCAACAAAGTTATTATTTGATTCAATATTGTGAGCAATGGTTTCTGGGATAGAATGTTTAAACCATAGTTGATGTAACTGTTTATATCTATCACGACACAAATGTAGTGGATATCCTCGTCTGCAATGAAATGAAAAAAAAAACACATACAAACAGCTGGAATGAAAGATCTATTATTAAAAATACTTTAGATGAAATGCTCAACTCCTATTTTAGAAAAGATTTATCCTAATTTTTTAAAGTACCATTGCGTCATTTGCTAAAATCTCAGGCGCATCAAAATGGCCGTCTGTTTATTATTACATAGAGAGCAGCATAGATGGTTGAAATTTCAATTCAACATATCTTTGTAAATACTGAATGGTATTGAACCATTTTTAGACTGATATTCCCATTAGAGATTCATCTTTAACAATATTGTAGGCTGCAGGGGATTCCCTATTGTGCTAAAATGACGCAATGAAACTTTAAATTCTTTAACTCTTAAGTTTTGAAGGTTGGAATTCCAATATTTGAATGTCATTAATATTTTTGAGACATTTATTTGATCTGATGCTAACCTTGAAGATTAATATTTAGGAGATAAACGACTGTTTAGAATTTAGAGGACTGTTATTGTCCATATGATACCGCTTAAATCATTAGAGGCTGAGATCTCGTTAGGAGGTATAAAATGGACAATAACAGTCTGTTAAATTCTAAACAGGATATTGTAGCCCAAAATATTTAACATTCTTCTTGGGATTCTTTCTTTCGGGATAGTTGACAGCCCTTTTTCTGTTTAAATGACGTAAAAACCAAATAAAACAATTTTGACGTAATGAAAACATCTGTGACGTAATAACATAAAGTCAAAACTATGATGAACAAAGAACGTACCTTAGTCCTTGATCTGTCTCACCATAATCATCTAAATATGGCGGTGGTATAAAACAGCCCTTTATTCTACCAGATAACAACAAAACTTGACAATCTCGAACCCTGAATTACAATTTACTTATGTTAATTTAAGACTAAAAGAATGTTTTTTTCTCTCATGAAATGACTAAAATTATATAAAGAAAATCCTGTCAAAACAAATTAATTACCTGAGAAATATTCCAACCCCAGCCCCACAGTAATGAGCGTGAGCTGTAGCAGCCCCAACAGGTGTTGTTGAACCAGGCAGGTCTGTTCGACAACAATAACTCTGGGAACATAACATCATACCGCAAACTAGACACATTGTAGGTGCACGACTATCATCCCCATCTGACTTGGGACAACTGAAAAAATTCAACAGTACATAAGCATTATTTTCTGGAATAAATTGTGTAAAGAAATCAATTGCAATGTGCTTTAAATAAATGAAATGAAATGAAATGGGGTTTAACGTCCTACTGTTCTGCTCCTATACTGGGCTAATGAAGACGGGCATACGCCATACAGTGGTGCTTTAAATAAGTCGAACAGAAAAATTGTTAAGAAAAGTAACAGTAAGTTCCTGGCATTAAACAGAATTACAATGTTTTGTTTTACAACATATAATATTGGTCTCAGTATTGGATGAGAAGAAGAGAATCTGGTACTTAATATCGGATTGGATAATGAGAAGGGTAAAACTGGCTAAAATTGAAAGAATCAGTAACTTACGTGAACTTGGAAGCTTGATTGATTAGTTCACTGAAATCATCTGGTAATTCAACTAACTGATTTATACGGGTAGGATAGGTTATTATCGGTTCACTACTAGCAGACATCCTTTCTTTAATCAATGGGGACATACACCAACTAGAACACACAACAAAATAAAATTTAATTGAATACTGTCATTAATGATTCTAATTTCATGAGAGGTTAATATTTTACTATTTTAAGTTTCATATAATCTTAAAGATATATTACATTACATTAGGCCATCTTTTTAAAACTTAACCACTAAATCATTTAATACAAGAATTTACTTCACCTAAAAACTATTTACTAAAAAGCATAAAATTTTAATTTATTAGCAAATCCAACAAATTCTTGTTTATTTTATCGTCCAACTATCACATCGAGACAATTTGATTTTTGGATATTCAAAAGCTGAATAAGTAGCTAATGCTAGCTTCCCACTATCACAATTTGCGCTACGACTGAAATCGTGATTTTAACTGTGGAGTAATAGTGGTGGTCCTATCAGGTCTTATCATATATTGAGGTCAGTTGCAGCATTCTTGTTGATCGTATCGAAACATATCTCAACGTACCAGATCGTGGACTAAATAGGGACAATCCTATTTTAACGCATCGCACGACAGTGGGAACCTAGCCTTAGAGCTTAAATCATCTGGATACAGCATGTTCTCCTACACTGTACCAACCCTATGGTTTCTAGAACTTGTAAATGTGGAGAGCTGACAAGTGCATTGAATGAAATGGGGTTTAACGTCCTACTGTTCTGCTCCGAACTAGGCTAATGAAGACGGGCATACGCCATACAGTGTGCTATGTGGGAAATTTTGCCTGGACAGCGGCACTACGGCCTACTCTTATATCGAATTCCAACTGTCAAGGGATCTTTTACGTGCATGCCAATGTGTACACGGGACCTTGGTTTTTCATCCCATCTGAATGACTAGACAGCTGTCCTTGTCAGGCCTTCTGTCCTGCATCACTGACAAGGGGGAACCACGCCGGATAATCTTGTTGAACTTTCTCAACCAATGCAGAGATCGAACACCGGACCTCCAGGCTAGCGAGCCAGCGTCTTACCCACTTAGCCATGTGATCCCCTGCATTGAATGAATTATGTGCTTTATATACATACATGGTCTTATAAGAAAGCTTACCTTTTAATAAGAGCTGTAGTAATTTGTCCACTATTATCTAATAAAACTGATAGATTGGATGGTAACGATAAATATTTACATAAAATCTCAAATTCAAAACCTTCACGATCTAAAAATATACAACAAAAATATTTTTTACTGAATCAACAAGTTTTACTAACAATCAACAAGTTACAACAAGTAGGACCATTTTTTAAATGAATATTAAACATACATTATGCCAGAGCTAAATCTGCCTATTGCAGGTCTTTCTTTAGGCCTGAAATGTTATCTAAATTATTAATTAGACATTAATTAACTTATCCAGTTAATCAACTCTCAATATCATCGCTAGCCTGAGATATTTACTGGATTAGGATCCGGTCGGCTCCGCTACGCTAATTCATGATTAAATCAACAAATGGATAATCGAGACTATGTATTTTATCGTACCTACCGACTTTAGTAATGATGATTGAGGATAGGCCCAAAATTCAATCGCTAAATTCTCAGTTGAGAGTGGATGAATTTGACTGAAAGTTTCAGCAAATTCCCTTTACAGTATCTAGTTTTTAACTATTATAGTGAGAATTGCCAGCTCTTTATCTAATCTCCCATAATGTATCTTTAAATCTTAGTACAATGTATTAAATTACCTGAGTAATCTGTTTGTAGTTCTGGTGGTGACATGATGCCGGTTAAATGATGGTATAAGATCGTAGCACAACGTAAAAACGGAGAACATGCCTTACGAATATGTTGACATAGTTGCCATGGTGATGGAGATATTTCTGATCTAATTCTACAAAACAAATATCAATTTTATATTCAATTCAGATCAATAATGTTTGGATGAGACAAAGGAAGAGAGGAAAATAGGTGTTTAACGTCCACACAAAGTTCTGGTAGGTCACAGTTAGTTCCTTTAGGAACTGTCTCTGAGCGGACAATGTCCACTGGCAGTTCCTATCCGTCCCTATATAGCTCTATTATGAAAATATGGTAAAATACCACTCTTCCCCGCCTCTGTTCTCAGGCTATTTTGGAACCTTAACCTTCTATTTTTCACGGTCATTCAGCAAAAGGAATCATTTCTCAATATATTTGGCACAAATTTATAATAATTCAAGACTATTTTAAAGTAGAATTTAGCGATTAAATAAACATGCGGTCTGCGCATGTTCGAGTCTCGTAATGGCTGATCAGTTCAAAAGTATTTTGTGCATGTTTAAAGTTTAAATCGCAGAATTCTACTTGAAAATAGTGTTGAATTATTATAAATGTGTGTCAGCTGTAGCAAGAAAATAATTCCTTGGGTAAAAAAAACAGTTGGTAAGGATTCCAAAATAGCCTTAGAACAGAGGTGGGGAAGACAGATATTTTCATATTGCAGCTATGGATGGATAGGAACTGTCAGTCGACATCATCCACCCAGAGACAGTTCCTAAAGGAACTAGGTCACAGAATAACAGAAAGCCAATCTCTAATATCTCAAGAAAATTCATAAATTATGACACTTCATAAGTGGAATAAACAATGACCACTATCCTACAGAGTTGTAATTACAGTGTTCATCATAGTTTGTACAGTAGAAACTAGTGATAGTACTATCACTGGAATAAACAATGACCTCTATTCTACACTAGGGCTGACTTTAAGCCAATTGGACAAATAGCTCCCAACTGGGCCCAGGCAGTCCTATGCTAAAGTCCCCAAATGGGCCCTACAGCTCCCAAGGCTGAGCTCTGTCTTCACTTTGGTATGTACAGGGAGTCTTTCTTCCACGCAGTATCATGTGTATAACATCTGTATATAAAATTCAGAAGTTACAAGAAAACTTACCCTGCATCTTCACGTAGATTAAAATAAATACGTAACCAATTTTCACCTTCGATATCACCTTCCATTTCCATATTTTCTTTAAAACAGATAAAATAATTTATCATTGCTTTTGTTCAAAGAATGAACCAAACACTGTCAAAAACCATATGTGGTCCTTTCTTCAGTGACTTACAAATTGAGTAGAACCAAAGAAATATTCTATAAATCTTGTCCTTCTCATTAAACTAAAGTTTAATGAAAACACTGTTTTAATACTTTATACAAACTGGTTGAAAATATAAAGCTATAGTTTGACAGAATCAACCATATTTTCTTGGGATGATAAAATATTTTATAATCAAGGAATATCAATTAAACAGTATACTTACCTTCTGGTTCTGGGTTATAGGTCAACAATATTTGTACCAGATGAGCAGTGAGAACTAACTGTAAGGCATGTTTATCGTTTAAACCACCTGATGGTATGGTTGAGATGGACGACCGTTGCTGTTCCGCATACAAGGTTGGTAAGGTCATACCAAGAATTACCAAATAGTGAAACATATCAAGGTCAAGAATACATGGAGAATCTTTCTTCAATTTCTCTAACTGTTCAGGTATTAGCGCTATAAAATAAAAATTATATTAAAGTTAAGAGAGATTTTAAAAGAGTAATCAGAAGATTAAAATATATAAAATAACCATATCCTTGACACCTAACTAATTTAGGCCATATAAAAAAAATATTCTGGTTCTCCGACAATCCTTCCTAAAAACCTGTAGCGAGAGGCCAGTTTTTACTTTTGTATTTTGTCAAAGGATCACTCATTGGCTAAATGACTTCTCATCAACATCACGTTCAAAGCACTACATATATCTCTTCACATTGTTAAATTTATGATTTCCCAGTAACATTTATGATTGTAAATAACATTTATCAGGGTTGAATAATTGATAATTGATCCTACACTACATTTCTGAATTCTTTTGAATTTTACTATAGAGCTACTCCCTGTAACCCAGGAAAGATATTTGTGTGCGGTAATTAATGGGACCTTTTATATTCTTTAATTTTTAAACAAAAATAGGCTATGCAGCTCTTTTAAAGTAATGTGGGAGTATCTGAGAACCAGAATATTTTGTCTTATATATTTTCTACAAACATTTATTGAACTTCTTTAAACAACCTGGAATAGTAAACAACCTGTAATTTCCATGTAGAATTAATGACTGTAGATTGACAAATCTCTCTCCATATTGGAAACAATTTAACTTTTAATGCTCAATGTACCGATGCAATCAAATTGAATTTTTTTTTTTTTATCTATCAGGGAAGGGTAACTCAACTAGTATCTCCACTATCTAAAATTACCTGTTAATACTCGCACGCAGTGTTGTTTAACCGTATCAGGGGACATAACCTGACTACAAACAGCCGCATATTTTACAAGAGAACTCAATAAATCTAACTGTCTAGATGGAACAGCTCCAAATAACGGTTTCTTTTCTAACTGTAAGGTTTGTTCTGAAATAAATATACATCAATTATAATAGTGTTTTGTCTTTTAACGTGATTGTGATTTACAAAACACGGAAAACATAATTTGCACTTTCAAAAATTCTAACTGTAATATAATGTAATAAAAAAAAAAAAGATGATTTTTGATTCATTCTGTTAGTCTGTGGGCTATTTTGTTTCTTAATATCACATTGCTATAAAGGACTTTGAGCATAATGTTATATCAATTTACTCAAAAGTACATTTTTCATAGTATTCAACACAATTGGTGCCAATATTACCATGAATAAATTTGGAGACTAACTATGTTAAGTATAAGTATTACCAATGGTATGTATTGTAAAGGCACATGTTGACCACGCCATGATAGGTACACGAGCATTCTCATCATCGGGTTGGACATCTAAACCGAACTATAAATAAATATATAATATACTACTAATATGGTATAGATAAAATCATAATTACATGTATCAGTTTATATGATTCTCTACCGTAGTTTAGACAAAACTTGTAAATTGAATCAAACTACTGAATTTAGTAGCCAGGTATTGCATACATTTAGCTGAATTTATGCCATCAGTTGACATACATCTTTTGAAATTGTTTCAAATTAAACAGGAGCCCAGATGTTCTTATACGAGAAAATATAGTCATTATGAGGCCGAACCACTTCATTTAATCAAAACAGAAAAAACATCACTCAAGTAACATAGTTACTGAATTTGGTTGAAATCTATTGGGAGAAGAAGTCGAAAATGTCTGAATTATCCCCTATACTGTAGCACTGAATAAATATATTTTATAAATATTGATAGTTTAGATACTTACGGAATAAACATCTCTTGCAAATTTCTTCATCATTTCTCTCATACCTTCCGAAAAACAGCCACTATAAAAGAAAGAAAACTTATATTTTACACAGAATATAGGATGAGGATCATTGTCTTATAAGATTTGTGTTCGACTTTTATGATTTAACTCTCAGAAATTCCAAAGATACAATATTCCAAACACAAACAACTTTAGGGTATTGATAAGAATATTCTAATTTACTGATAGAACATACCTAGCATCATCATAAACATATTCCCAGAGTAACTGGAAGTTCTTGGCTACACTCTCTGCCATCATCCTAGTTATAGTAGATATAGGACATGGTTGGATAAACAAAGATTCCTCTGTAAAACAAAATAGAAAAAAAATAATCTAAATATTAAGGTAATCAGAAAATATTAATTACCAACATTTTTGAAGGGGGAAGGACTATCTAAAATCCGTGAAAGGATTATATTGGAATTTCAATAAAAGTTTTATTCGAGACAAATGACTTGTTTCAGGTCTGCCCTCTTTATCAAGTGACAATACTAAATGATTTTTTGGACATTCATATAGACAGATCGATCATTGATTTAAAATTGAATAATTTCTGTATAGAATTGTGAAAATCTGTTCTATATCACTAAGTTTGAAACCGGAGCTGTGGTGTTATTGATTTGGTGAGTTTAAAAATGACTTTGATTACTCAACAGTTTACCTTCCATTAGTTATACGCTCAATGACTGCTTTAAGTACCCGGAGGTGTCTGGTCGTTGAAACACCCCAACCTCTCCAAAAAACAGTTTTATTAGCCACACAGAGATCAAAGGCTTCATAATTAATATTAATCAATCTTGTACCTTGTGACTGTTGATCTTTTTCTTTCTGTACACTGTTCTCAACAGTCTTCTTGATACCATCTAACCAATCATCAAACTTTAAATCTACTTCACAGTCACTAAAACACAAGATATATGGCTAATACTAACTTTGTTTTATTTGCTACACAATCAACAATTATTACAATATGTACATAACAATAGAAAGTTTAATGTCTACTCAATACAAACCAGGTCATTTCAGGGCTAACCTGACATATCTTTACTTCAACAATTTATTTGCATGTTGGGTTCTTTAGCAGTGTCACATACAAGTATACAATAGAAACAACAAAACACAGGACTTAATAACAGACCTTATGATCTAAAGAACTCATGTTAGACCTCTGGGTCATCCCCACTCCACCCTCCTACCAGGTAAATGACAATAAGACAGGGACATGCTATTTACACAATAAAAACAAGTAAAATGGGACACTACATGTATAGACAGATGTGTTGGTAGTCCAGCAACCATCAATACATGTAAATGGGTTCAGGCTCAGGTAATGACAGGAAAAGACTATTGCATTGGAATAATTTCATAAAAATGCTGAATTCTTCAAGAAATTTATCAACAGACAGCAGTTTGTTGTAATCATGTAGTAAAAATTATATACCTGTCATTAACAAGTTTATGTAGTGAAGGAACGATGGGTATTACTGTATTACTCAATGCTTCACATAACGGACATAAATACTCCATTTTATCTATGTCATAACTCTGGGCTTGACGAAATCGTAGTGGTCGTCTTCGCTCTTTTGCTAATATAACATCAAAATATCTGGAAGACATGCATAATTCAAAATAAAGTTATATTCTTAAACACATAATCAAAAGAATTTAACATTGAGGCTAAATTTTGTTGTTTTTATTAGTAAAAAGAACAGATTTTTTATTTACTTTTTTACTCATACTGTCAACAGTAGACTTACTTTTGCCAGCATTCATGATGCATGATATGACCACATGATCCTGTTTTAGTTCCAGTGAAGAGGTCAGAGGTCAAATACAAGGGGTCATATTCATCTCCATTCTCTAAATGTTTACTCAGATTCTGTGATAATACTGTTGATCTAATATTACAATAAATATAAAAAAATACATCATACAAAATACAACATTCTGGTTCTCAGACTATCTGATGTGGAAGGGAGGTTTTTATTGTGGCTAACTGACTTATCACAAACATCATATTGTTTTTGCCAATGTATACTATTCAAAAAAAGTAGGGGATATTTGATTTTTAAGTGTTATTAAAGTCACCTAATGAAACTGACGAAGAAACAAATGACAAAATGAAATGAAGTTCACATTCATCGATTTATTCCAAATGATCGTTAGACTAAGTAAGGCACAGACTGACCATTATAAGGGTAAAATGATACCCGGGGTCAAACAGCAAAGTTACCACAGCATCACAACCAAGTCAGTAACGGGTAAATCCTCCTCTGTTTGCCAAACAAGCATTGATCCGACGTGGCATACTCCTAATGAGACGTCTAAGGTCATTTTGGTCCAGATTGTCCCATTCCTGTTGCAACGCAGCAGCAAGTTCTTGGACATTGGCAGGACGTTGTTGACGTTGACGTAACCTCTGTCCAAGCATGTCCCAGACATGCTCGATGGGGGAGAGGTCGGGACTCAGTGCTGGCCAAGGTAATGTGGTGATGTTCTGTTGTTGGAGGTAACCTGTAACGATCCTGGCCCTGTGACATCTTGCGTTGTCATCCTGGAAGATGAAACGGCGGCCATGACGTCGTGCGAACGGCACAACATGGACTGCCAAGATGTTGTCCCAGTAGTACTGGCCTGTAACACGCCCTGCAACAACATGTAAAGCCGTTCTTCCAGCAACAGTGATGCCTCCCCACACCATAACAGAACCACCCTCAAATCGATCATGTCTGATGACGTTAACGTCTTGGAAGTGCTCGTTTCGACGACGCCACACCCTCCTACGTCTGTCCAAAAAATCAACAGTGAACCTTGACTCATCTGAAAACATCACATTGCTCCAGCGTCGATTATCCCAGTGTTGACGATCCCTACACCAACGACGTCTTGCCTGAATGTGATGATCTCTCAAACAAGGGATCACGCGAGGACGTCGGGCGCGAAGGTGACCCCTATGCAGTCGATTCCGAATCGTCTGGCCACTCACTCTCACACCAGTGACCTGAGCGTGGTCTGTCCTGTACAGATTGTGTATCACGGTATCTGGACCATAGCCTGCTTATGACAGACTGAGAAACATTCATCGTCCGCGCCACAACCGCCTGTGTTGTGCCGATCTGTAGCATGCCAAGGGCACGTAACCTTTCATTTCTGGTCACTAAAACAATTAAACTGATGTTTCCACCCTGGAATTCAATGCCACAATGACTGTAACATTCAAAGTCAGAGTCGTGCAAATCTTGGGTTGGACCCCCATGATGATCCCAAGCATCACCTGCATTCCATGCGGTAGCTATTGGTGCGTTTGGGCTTCACATGTAACTGGAAATGTTTCTTCTGTTAGGTTCTATAGTGACTTTTTTCGTAGTCATTTGCATATTTTAGTATTATGCCCCCAAAATCAAATATCCCCTACTTTTTTTGAATAGTATATAATTATCCAGTATCATTTATGATTGTCAATAAGATATATCAGGGTTGCATACTTGAAAATTGACACCAGATGAATTTAAAATCAGAAATCTGCTTGGCTAGATATTTTGCAAATGGATTTATTTATTGAAATTAAAAGGAATTCAGTGGAACTTGATTTAAAAATAATACATTTCTGTCCTTGATACAGTGTTTTTTCCATCTAAAAACAAATAAAACCAATTTTCACTTTCAGAACATAGATGAACGAATATGTTTGATGATGTTTTTTTTTTTTAATTTTTTTTTTTATATGTCTTATTATTATTCTTACCTTTGTACATAAGCAGCTAAAACCATGGCTTTACCATTAACGGTAACTTCATGTTCTTCTTGACATAAAATACATGTTGCCATGATGGGATTTCCTGTTGCTGCATTATTACGACTCTGACCTAATGCAACTGGAAAGTCACTACTTGTAGGTCCACTAATAAAAAAACATAAAGTAGTCATTCATAAACATCTGAAGGATGTACAAAACATCTTTTCCTTTATCACTACATAAATTGCAGAGCGTGCCACGAGGCATGAATAACTACTCTCGCTACACCCTAACAAAGCCAAATTTAATTACTTGCACAATTTTTGAAAAATATTACATATTAAAAAAATGGAATTTATTGAGCTCATTTACGTGCACCTGATTTAACATCTTTAATTTTATTTGCTGATAAAGTAGTTTTTCAAAGACCTCTGTATTTTTTAAACTTAAACTTTAAAACTTGCACTGCTAGATTGTTTTCCAAATGGATGACCCTTTCTTGATTCTGGGTAATCATTGCTTTAAAGCAGATCTAAAAAAGCTTATTGTTGTTTCTATAGTAACCCTTCTTATCAGAAATCTTTTCTGCATCGTGTTAACATTTTGGTTCCATATTTGCTTTTAGTAAATCTATTTTTGTAGTCTGTCCCTAAATCTTTTCAATGTGCTCAATAATGACCAGGTGAAATGGTTGTTCACACAAATCATTCTGTATCAGTGAATATTTGGGAAACTAGTCATCAGTTTGATCATGGCAGTTTGACCTGAATAATATTTCAATAAATTATGATTGGGATAGTATCTTGAGAAATAAGTTTCTATTTAAAATTCTATTCAATACAAACATAATAGTATGGTACTGTGCATGTAAACTATACCTAAGGTCCATATCGGAGCCAGCCGACTGCATTTCAGAGCAAGTACTTTCAAACAATACAGCATTGCCTTTTATAAAATCTTTCTGCATTTTTGAAATCTTTGCCATGACTTTGGCTCGTTTCTTTGCTGCTATCTCGGCTTTTTTCTTTCTCTCAGTTTCAGATTTCTGATCTGTTGAGTTACTGATGTTCTCCAGACCTTCCATAGCAATCGGATCATTCTTCATCATACGTACTTCAGCAAATTTCTATAGGTATAACAGAAAAAAATGCATTTAATCACCTATCACTTATGCATACCATTGAAATATTTTCTAATGCTCTGTTATGGATATTGTCATGATATTCAATGGATAATTGAACAGAACATGTCAATTCCAACATTGTACCGGATCGATACAATATGCTGGATTACATCGCATATTGGAATACTCAATTACCTCGATACTTGAAGTATTATTGTACCTTCGAATACAAAAAGTATTATTATAATGCACCCTCGAATACCTAGAACTTAAAATATGAAAATGCTATCTGTACATTCAAAATTTTATTACATTATATCAAGACACAATAACATAACAATACATGTACATAACAATTTACTTTGAATATATATAATCATCTGAAGTTAATTGTTTTTGGTTCTGGTTTGTACATCGTAAAGCAGAATCTTCTAAAGATTGAATGCTATCAATCAATCCAACATCTTTAATTTGAGTGAATGTTTTCAAATCATGTAATATGTGTAGACATTTGGCATATATACGTTAAATCTGTTGACATTGCATCTTATCGTCATCTTTGTCTTCAATTTTAGTTACGCTTATTTTCGAAGCCACATGTTCATTAACAATTTGCCGTCCTATATCCATATCCTCATCACAATCTGTCAGAATCCCATTATTGAAATTGATAAAATTTACTTCTGTTGTGTTTAAAGAAGGTAGCAAGGATTCGATTAATTTTGCAAGCGGGATATCGTCATCTTTGTCGTCAGAAGATAGAGAGAGAGAAATGGGGTTTAACAGCCACTCGACACAAACTAGATCATTTCGGGACTAACATATGGTTTAATTTTATTTCAATAATTTGCTTGCGCGTAGGGGTCTTTAGCAGTGGGAGGAAACCGGAGGACCCAGAGAAAACCCACGAGGTTGGACAGGCGACCCTACTCCTTGTCACGTACAAACGGGGATTCGAAACCACGCCAGTTGACTCATTGACAGGTCTTATGATACAGCGCGCACATGCTAACCATTCGGCCATCCAACCCCCCACGTCAGAAGATACACCAACCCGAATAAATAGCACTTGTCATCCAAGCCCCAAGGATTGGCCAACCAATTGACTGACGACAGGTTGCTTTTGTCCATAATCTTTAAACCACTCGTGCGTCATTCTATTGATGTCTTAAAACTTCGCGTTCGAGTAAAATCATTTCTTACTACTGTTAAAGTTATTAGAAAACTTCCGTTTGAATTCATCTTTTCACTTTAAAATGTCAGATACTGTAGTACGGCCAACTGAATACTTAACAGCTAATTCCTTCAGAATAGGTGAGTTATATGCAGAAGTCATTCTGACAGAAGTTGCACAACAAGCCACTGATTTTGTGAAAAATGAAGGCTAAGTATATTACTAATATTAGGCAAAAATAATATGGAAATTTATGATAATAATTTATAGCTTACCCTAAGAACCCATGCTAGTAGGTCTTTGGAAGGATCCTGGCTGACATTATTACAATTAACTAATGATTGTAATAAACTTAAAATACTGTTATCACCTACAAAAATATATACAATGTTTAATAAACATGTATTAGAACAAATTTAATTTTATCATTATCTGGCTGAAAGAATAGTTATTTGCTTATTTTTGGCAGCTTAATCCACACTAAAATGTACTCAAACTGACTGCTCAACATTTAACTAATAAAACAAAATCAAAATAACATTGTCAGATATCAGATTAAAAAGAGGCCTATCAAAAGGTTTTAGATAAGACTTAACGCAAAACGGCCCAAAAATTTGGTCAAAACAATCATAACTTTTAGTTGAAAGAACCATAGATTAGTTATAATGAAAATTACCAATCAAATATTTGTTATCTAACACAAATCCAATGACATATATTCACATAAATTTTGATCAAATTTTTGGCCATTTAGGTTTACGTCCATTTTGATGATGCCCCATTTACATTGTCTGCAGAGAGGATTCCAAATGTTGTGAAATTTTCAATTCATCATATACTGCACTGAATTGAATCATTTTTGAGCCTATATTCATAGAGATTCATTCACAATATTGTAGTTGTAGTTTGAAAGGGATTCAAAATCCCTCAAATGATCATCAGAAAGAGAGAGAGAGAGAGAAATGGGGTTTAACGTCCACTCAACACAAACTAGGTCATTTCGGGACTAACATATGGTTTAATTTTATTTCAATAATTCGCTTGCGCGTAGGGGTCTTTAGCAGTGGGAGGAAACCGGAGGACCCGGAGAAAACCCACGAGGTTGGACAGGCGACCCTACTCCTTGTCACGTACGACCGGGGATTCGAAACCACGCCAGTCGACTCAATGACAGACTTTATGATACAGCGCGCGCACGCTAACCATTCAGCCATCCAACCCCCCTGATCATCAGAAACTTTAATATTAATAAAAAGAGAGAGACAGAGAGAAATGGGGTTTAACATCCACTCAATGCAAACTAGGTAATTTTGGGACTAACATATGGTTTAATTTTATTTTAATAACTCGCTTGCGCTTAAGGGTCTTTAGCAGTGAGAGCAAAACAGATGACCCGGAGAAAACCCACGAGGTTGGACAGACGGCCCTACACCTTGTCACGTACAAGTTGGAAATCGAAACCACACCATTTGACTCAATAACAGACCTTATGATACAGCACACACACGCTAACCACGCTATTAATAATGTTATTTAATGTACGATACACACCTTGCATGGCATATTTAACAAAATCAAAAGATGTATTTTTTTCACCATAGGCTCGTACTTGTTCATGTAAAGCTAAACCAATTAAATATAAAACCTGCAATAAAAACACATATCTTATGTACAGAAGGTAATAGTGTTTCATGTTTAAACTATTCTAAGATTTCATGGATTATGATAGACAATATATAATATGCTATTGGCTTTTACTTACTCGTTCAAACTGAGGTTCGGACCAGGATCGGGATCGTGTGGCACCTGTACGTGTTAAAATAGTCTGAAAGATGTGAGTTACGACATCACATTGTAGAAGGTTTATAATTGATGAGAACTGACAAGTAAACGCTGGTGGAAATGGAGGTGGTAAACCTAACAAATATATAAAAGTTATAAGCTTATTATACTGTAAATCCAATATGCACCCTAGAACAAGGTCTGTGGCAATATTAAACACGTTAAAATGTGTGTAGTTAAAAAGTAGTTATCTCCCATTAATATCAAAGAAAGAGAGAAATGGGTTTAACATATTGTGCAATTTTATTCTCTTTTTTAAGGCTGATCAAATGGATTGCATGGCACTACTTAAAAGGGGCGGCAATGACTAAAAATCTTAACTGATGGTCTTACATTGATCTTCTCCTTCCTGTTTTTTACGTTTTCTCTGAGCTTCTTCTGACTGGAAATAAACCCAAAACATTTAATTATTTATAAAAATAATAATAAAACAACAGCATGGACTAGTTTAAATCTTTTTATTTAGCATTCAGTTATTACTAATCCAGTATGAGTTGTCTTTTATTGAAGATAGAACCTCTGATTATACAGATCAGATGTAAATATAAATAATAAATACTAACCTTGGATTGTTCTGATTTTGTATAATGGTAGAAATAAGGACAATAATTTTTGAAATATTCAGGTTTTAATTCATATTTTCCCTTTCCAGTTCCACTTGGTTTACTAAAAGAAACACATAAAAATAAAGAATATAAAATTACTGGAACAGAATATGAAACATGAAATGGGGTTTAACGTCCCACTCTTCTGCACCAACTGGGCGAAGGAAGACCGAGGGATAATGAAACACATTTAAGTTTGTCACTTACTTGAATTTAGCGACATCTTTCACAACATCTTCCATTCCGGTTTCATGATTTGGCTGGAAAGAAAAACAACATTTTTTTACATGCAATGTTCTGTGTCGTTGTCCCTTATAATTGTTCTAATGCATACTTCAGATGAAAATAATTCATAAAAAATAGTTTGTTTATTGAAGTTAGTAAATTGTATAATGCAACAGACAATTAGAACATAAGAATTATAATTCTAATGAAGCATATGGATTTTTGCAGAATACAAGATGTCAGTTGTTTATGACAGTTTTGTAGCTTTGAAATAATATGAATGCAGCATATTATATCTAACCCGACATACAATCAGATATAAATCCTGTTTTTTTTTTCTCTAACTTACATTTTCAGGCAAAGCTTTACCGAGTTCACTATGAGCCATTGGTGCAATACATAATTGATGAATTATCTCCCTTTTAACCACATCCTGTTCGGTTACTTGACCAACACCTGGTACAAATCTTTCCTCTATAAAACAATAAATTAGTATATAACAAGGAATAAATCAGATAGGTGATGCAAGTACACCATGTGTGACTCATGTGGCCTTAAATTTATAGTTATTTTAAAGTCATGAATAAACAGCAAATTTATAGAAAGAGAGAAATGGAGTTTATTTTACACTTATTTGGCTATTTTAGGACTAACATGAACACAGGAGTTTTTAACAATGCGAGGGAGGAAAGTGATACAATTTCATACAACATATTTCTGCCAATTTTACATCTTAATTTCTTGCTGACCTTTAATTTATGAACTATCCAATTCTTAAATTACTGTAGAAATGTCAGGTTTAAATTACTGTAGAAATGTCAGGTTTAAATAACAAAGTTATCAATACTCACCCAATAATATAATGAGTAAATTCAAGAATTCTTCAGCTAACATGACAGTTTGTCTTAAAGAATCTTCTTGTCCTTGTCCTGGTACATCATACTCTAGTCTACAAACAAATATTTATATAAGATTAAATTTTAAAGTCACCACAATGTGTATTACAATAGAACGGTAGGTAAAAAAATTCTCCACTGCTCTGTTTGGAAATGGAAAATATTTGATAGCATTTATTGAGGTTATTGATGCAGTGATAGATTCCTTCGTAATCAACCTAGTTTATAAAACAATTTTACTACAGTATATATCTGGACTTAAGTAACCTAACTGTCCATATATTATATTTAACCAGATGCATTTCCAATAATAATCGCCAAAAACAGGGTTTCCAAATTATTGGAAGCTCTAAAATATAATGCCTGCCTTTATTTTGAATAATTTCCAGACAGATTTGGTTTCTAATATTGCAGTTTTATAATTATGTCAATTGCTTTATTTTATTAAAAGAAAATAAAGCAATCAAAACAGAGTGTGATGAGGTCTCTTACCTAACCCAGTTCATCAAACCATACTTATTCAACAAATGTATCACAAAATCATTCCCATTCATCAGAGATCCTCCAATCTACAATAAAAATATTTATATAAAAATCTTAAAATTAAAGCATATTTTTCATGATTATTTGTGATAATATTCAAATGTTTCACTACAATGACTATAGAGTCAGAATTGACTTGACAATCACAAAATTTCAAAACGAAGAATATGGCACCCTTCTTCCATATCAATAATGAATAAGATAATATTTCACGCTATTAAAGAAAGACTAATTAAAATATTCAAATGTCCTAGAATGGGAAAACACAAATATTTATTGTAAAGATAATGTACAAAATATTCACCTGTAACATAACAATATCTCTATCGTACATTTCACCTCGACATCTCACATTCTGATAGAAAAATATCTGAAACACAGATAATACAACACATGTTAAACAAAAGAAATTCACAAATTAGGTTTCAAATATTAACTAACTATGACGTGATTCATAGATACTTTTTTGTTTGGTCAATTCGTTTAAACAGGACACCGTTTTTATCAAACAGACATGAAAATTTATTCAAAGGTTTTGAACGTCTAACACAATTTAAGATCTCATACACAAACTTACTACACACTTATAGTATTCCTCAGAATTATGTTCTGTGTTTTTCGAGTTCAATTACTAAATGTAATTGACACAAATTACACAAACTTAAGTTTAGTATATATTCTGTCCCACCTGTATTTTTAGCCCCCGAATATACTAAGAAAACATAAATACATAAAATATCAACAGATAAACGGAATTACACATTACCATGTAAAACCACAATGAAATAAAGTATGTATTACTAAGCATATTGCCCTCATACATTTACCTGATTGAGTAGAGAGAATCCATTCCTCCTCCACATACCAGCTTGGGTCTGGGCGATCATAACTTGAGTACGTAATGGTGGCTCAATGAGATCCAGTGGCTCTAAACGTTTCTAAAAATAAACGTACATGCATAGTTTTACTTCTATTAAAGAGAGAGAGAAAGATGGGGTTTAAAGTCCACTTAACAAATACTAGGAAATTTCAGGAATAACATGGTACAATTTTATTTCAATAATTTGCCTGGGTGTAAAGGTCTATAGCAGTGCGAGGAAACTGGAGGACCCAGAGAAATCCCACAAGGTTAGGCAGGCAACCCTACTCCTCGTCACATACAAGTATGGAATTAAAACAACAGCACTTGACTCAGTGACAGACCTTATGCTCTAAAGCACACATTTATATTAAAGCATCCATTGTCAGGTGGCTAATGTATTCTTTAGATAGAAATGTAGATGATTAAACAAAAGATTAGGTTAAATGCCCTCTTGAGCTGGGTTTTTATCTCCTAAATAGGCTTTTTTTTAACACTTGCAAAACACAATCTTGTCCTAACCCATAGACAGAAACAAATTTAAAGTTACTTTCCCGCAAAAGTATCTATCGGGTGGTCATTCCCAATAAAAGTATGGCAATTTTGGTATATATGGAAAGTAAAAACATCCAATCTAACTAGAAAAATATAAGATTCCCTGAAAAACACCCATGGAGCGAATACAGGACAAAAATGTAAGGGTTTCCCTTACCGGCAACCTGACAATTATAGGGACGTCTGCTCGAGTGACGTCAAAGGTTGCATGCGAAGATTGCCCAGGTTAGTGAGCGTATATATTGAAAAACTTGATGGTAAGCTTAAACGTACAATAGTTTCAGAGATAAAAAACACATAAAAAGATGTGGGCAGTGGATAATCAAAGAATTTAATTAGGCTTCGATATTTATGATAAATGGACAGCGATTCAAGACAACATCGTCTTGTATATGCAATGAATTCTCCTTCGCAACCGTTGCTAGGTACCGCGTCAGCAAAGTCGCGTGACACAAACATGACTTCTTTTATTAAGATTTTTAATAGCAGAGGTATTCCCTGGCAAATGCAATGTTTTGAGATCGATTTGAAACAAGTCTGATAGATTAATTAGTTTAAATATGTTTTTAGTCCAAATATATCATCAAATCACCCAGTTTGTACACATAACAATATTTTGGGTCACCAATTCAGAATAGTGATATTTTGGAGAGCTATATCTCAAGATTATTCTCGAAAATATCTTGGATAATTGGATGTTGTCAAACGGATATAAAAAGAAAACTTATCCCCGAAACTCATTCCATATATCACTATTTTTACTACTGTATTTCATACAACATTTAACAGTTGTAATGAAGATATTTTACTTGCTTCACTCTCACATTGCAATAGGCAAAGAAACCATAAAAATCGACTTACATCCATAATCTGTAGAAGTTTAGGAGAGTTAAAATGTAACTGGTATTTCTCTAGGTGTAAATGTAAAGCTGAAATAATCAAAATAAACAATTATTCTAGTCATTCACCATCAGTATACAAGTGTTAATTAAAGAAAGAAAGATTCATCTGTTACTACCTGTACAAGTGATAGCTAAATGAAGCATCGAGACAACAGTAAAAGAATAATTGACTCAAATTTGAGAAATAAAATAAAAACATACCTGCTAGAAATCTAGATAACGGTAAATGTATAGAAACAGGTTGAGTAGCTACATCATATTTAATACATCTAGCTGTATGACCTTCAACTGTTAATATCAATAAATAAATAGTATAAACAATGTTCTAACAAATTATAAACATAGTATAGTCAAGCAATGAATATACATCCACAGGTGACTTTCATGTTTCTGAAGTCAGGGGTAATAACTACGCATATAATTAATGGGTGACTCTGAATTTCGATAGGGTTCCAAGCTGAATAATTTTAGCCAGTTTGAAAAAAAGAATCTAAGAAAAAAAAATCCCAGCAAGTTCGAACCCAAAAATCTCTACAACTGTCAAATTATGATTTGCCCAATAAGATTTAAAAAATATTGTCATACAGAAATAAACTGGCATACAGAAATAAACTGCTATACATGTACCTTCAAATCTTTCTTTAGTATTAGGTTCAGATGATCGTTCACATCTATATAATGCATCTAATGTTTCTTTATATGCCTTTAGCAATACCTCTTTCTGTAAAATACAACAAAAACATAAAACTATATTTATTAAAACAGATTCACCCATTTCAGAACAAAGGTGCTTAATTGTAAATTGTTAAGTGCACAACAATTAAACAAATAGTGTGAAGAGTTCAATCTAAGTAACTCTAGTTACAAAACTGTTTTTTATGAATTCATTCTCAATATGAAGTCTCATAATCTTTCACAGTTTTAATAAAAAAAAAAGAAATTATTTATGAAGTCTGTATTTGAACAAATATACCCACACAACTCAAACAGCTCTGTGCTGGGGAAAAAAATGAACTGGCAGTTATGTGCCGAGAGCATTTATTCAAAGGTAATGCTGCAATTTTGGTTTACACAATTATAAAGTTTTGCGAAATGTACAATAACTTACATCTGTTGAACACCATTCCGCAAATAAAACCAAATTATCTTCTAATTTTAACTGTAGGTTGAAGGCACCTTCCCATTCTGGTTCAAATTCAAGATGGTGACCTGTCTGCCTCTGTACACAATCCATGCCCTAAGCAAAGAAATTTCAGTAATTAAATTTTAAGAAATTTGAGTACAATGATTTAACAAGCATAATAAGAATATTGCCGAAGAAGTACGTATACCCTACCGGCCCCTACAAATTTTGTATTACATGATTTATAACATGCTGATACTGGAAATACATTTCTGTGAATATATAATCCAAATACATATGGAAAGAAAAAAACCTGGAAAATAGAATTTTCATTGATTTTAAGTCAATAAAGGGCTATAATAAAATAAAAAAAACGTAACAGAATAACACGAAAGGGTACATCTGCTATATACAACATTGTGCCAAATTTCAATCAAATACCTCAAAGCTTAATCTAAAACAATTACTTTCTAGATAACTAAGAAGTGATACCAAGTGTTCTACAAAGAGTATGACACTCATCACTAATGGTAAAAGGGTGCATTATAGAAAAAAAGATGTGCCTTATTTGGTCACCTTACGGCTATATACAATACTTCATGCAATATTATATACCTGCATCGCTGAAAGAAGTTCTATTAAAGCCTTTAAACCCTTGAGAAAATTAATCCGGAGCTCATTATCCCATTCACTTGCATTTGGTTTACAAATTAAAGCATATCTAAAATAAAATCAATGATTCAGTTAGTGGTATTATAGATTAAATATTCAAAAATAAGTTAAATACAAACTTTCAGACCACACACAACATAAAAGTAGTCCTGCAAAAATTCAAATGGATGAATTCTAAACGAAGGCACAGGCATCTAATATTCACATTTCCTTCTATTGATTTCATGTTGCCATCTTCATTTGACTTATAACTGTCTCCTATCCATGAACATTGAGGCCAAGAACAGCAAAATAATTTTAAAAAGCTAAGGAAATTGTTACTTTCACATTTAAAATATCCAGTATTTGAATAATCCTTTAGCACTATTGCCCAAACATCTTGTCATGTGCACAGCTGTGGCACCCACACAAACTAGTAAATAGTCATATAATATAGAAAGTCATTCACATACACTGTATCTTGTGTAGTTACATGTACTGAGGGCTGAAGGAAAAAAGTATAACATGTATTGTTTGACTGTTCCTCAATTTCTGTCTATGTAAAGGTCATCAAACTTGGAGTATTTGTTTTATTCGCATACCCATTACCACACTCTCTCAGTGAATCAAATATTATTGTCACAAACAAAAATACTGAATTCAAGATCCCAAATACAAGTGATCAAAGCAAGACCAAATAAGATAGATAAATATATATATAAATACATCCTGGTCAACTTACTTGAGATCATATAAAACAAACCAAGCTCTTTTTAAAGCTGGATTCCTTTCATTTCTATCAAACGCTAATTTACCAAAAACTGAAAAGAACAAATACAACTAATAATATATCCATTTTGAAAACTAATACATGAAAATAATCAAATCTTGTGTCATGGTCGATATCATATATAATTCTTGGTTTATAGCATTTAGTTCAACCTTTTCCGAAAAGTTAATAGTATGTATGTTTACTCGTGCCATTGTAATTTAAAGAGAGAGATAAATGGGGTTTAACGCCCACTCAATACAGACTAGGTCATTTAAATGGGACAAACATAATGGTACAATTTTATTTCAATAATTCGCTTGAGTGTAGGGGTCTTTAGCAGTGGGAGGAAACAGGAGAATCTGAGGAAAACCTATGAGGTTTAGCATACAAGGCCACAAATACAAGTGTGGAATCGAAATAATGCCACTTGATTCCATGGCAGACCATATGATCTAAAGCACCTTCATTAACCCCCCCCCCCCCCCCCACGCACACTTTGTAATTTCAAGTGAGAGATACATAGACATGAAATGAAATGAAATGGGGTTTAACATCCTACTGTTCTGCTCTGAACTGGGCTAATGAAGATGGGCATATGCCATACAGTGTACTATGAAGGAAAGTTTGCCGGATAGCGGCACTATGGCCTATTCTTATATCGAATTCCAACTGTCAAGGGATCTTTTACGTGGACGCCAATGTATACTCGGGACCTTGGTTTTTCGTCCAATCTGAACGACTAGACAGCTGTCCTTGTCAGGCCCTATGTCCTGCAACACTGACATGAGAGGATCCACGCCAGAAAATCTGGATGAACTTTCTCAGGCAATGCAACACCCGACCTCCAGGCTAGCGAGTCAGCGTCTTACCAACTTTGCCACTGTGACCCCCACATAGAAATGACACCCACTCATCATCACAACTATGTCAGCTCAGGACAAACAACATTAGTTTGCTTTATTTCATGATTATTATGGTCTATGCATTAGTTGCTTGAGAATGTAAAATGTCTATTAAGCAACTAGTAAGATAAATAATAAGATATGTACCATTTTTCTTTCTTTCACAAGGTTCTAGAAAGGCTCTAATGATAACTTCTAACAGATTATATTTAGTTATCAACACTCTAGCCTGAAACACAGAATACAAACACATTATAAATAAGAAAATTATTTTATATAGATCTTTAATGTGTACCGGTACTACTAATTTCAAAATACAACAATTCAACAAGAGTACATTTCCAAAATATATGCAAAGAGATGACAGTACAACTTGAAAATGCAACCCTGTGCACAAGACTAGTAGTGTGGAGCGTTTCTTTTTGTATCTTGTCCGTGTTTGCCTGCTGGGTTTCTAGTTAATTGTTACCTGTTGAGATCCTCCTTCACTTAATAAAAGTGAGAGTTAAAGCTTAGATTTCAAAGGGCTACCATGAAAACAATACAATATGGTACAGATGTTGGTTTATTACGTGTACATCATTGGTACTAGGTGTCCATAATTATCATAAAATTCATGTTTATAAAATATAGTAACGAAATGCAACAATAAAACTTTGCCATATTCTTTCTGACTATATGCAGACAGAACTCAAAACATATACACATTTTTGTACAGATGTAGCATATTCTTTTCGCAGCATCAATACATTATAAAACTCATCGGTTTAAATCAAAGCTTTTGATTAATTATGTGTAATTTTAAAACCGAATCCTATTTTTTAACAACCTTTTTGGTGTCAATTTACATTTTACTTCTAACATTTGTGGTCTTTTTACACCTTTAACATTTGTGATCATTAATCTAAATGCATTCATGCATTACCATTTGTTTATTGTAAAGTGCCTTTCAGCACTATGGAAAATTCTTAATGCTTATGAAAAATTCTTAATAATAATAGTAATGTTAATAAATAAACTTGTAAATAAAGTTTGCTCCTAGACAGAGTAAACAATAATTCAAATTTTATTAGATGTCAGATGTATATTTTAATATTTAGCTTTCACAGAGTAATATTTTGTGATAAAATTAAATCAAGCACAAATTAAACTTCCATAGCAAATAGATTCTTTTTCAAGGCATGAGAAAACACAAAAAATCTGTTCTTATGGCTTAGTAAATTAATGAAGGAAGAGTTTTATTAATAATGGTTGGTAATTGGAGGTAAGATAAGGGCCCATTGTGTATTGCCATGCTAACGCCTTTAATCATAATGTAAATAATGATATTAACACGTACCAAAGGCGGAACAGTAAACAATTGAACTGATTTGGATGTTATTGAGAACGATCTGCTATGGTCATCCAGAATAAAGGCTTTCATTAAAGTTGCATATCGCTAAAACAAACAAAACAAATTCGCATTTTAGAAAAAAAAGTTTAGAAACAAAAGGAGGACAGTCATTATTTTGTCAATTAAACTCCATTACATTAAAACCAATAAATGTTAAAGTCTTGGACCTACCTATCTGACTAAACACAAGTCCAATGTTGTGGATTTTATACAAAAAAACCCAATTATTCATGGTTTTATTTTGTAATGGAGTTTATATTACAAACATCATCGTCTCAATAAATCGTTTTCCTAACTTCTCGTTGATATGCTATTGTGGAAAATATTTTAGCCATTTTGTTTGACTTGACCAGTAGAAATGGATTTTATGAAGTGGTAGATCGATTTCCCCGACTTCAGATTTTTGACAATGTTTTGTACGAGCAGAAACATTAACAGAAGAGCCGTAGTTACTTCTAGCATGTTAAATTCCCTTCAAAACAAATCGACTGTTTTATATTGAGACGATGTGAACTGACTGCCCTGTCACCTACCAGACTGGGTACAGTAAATATTTGGACAGTAAGGGAGAGAACTGAGACATCATGATCATGGTCATCCAGAAAGAATTCAGCCATCATTGCTCTGTAATTCTGAAGAAGATGAGTCAGATCAAATATTGCAATAACAAGAGAAAAATCGGATCATATTTAAACTATGGACATAACTCCAAACACAGGTTGCCATCAACTCCAAACACAGACTACCAGCAAACATAACAGTAAAATGAATCTATTTTAATGTAATAAAAACTTTTGAACAAATTTGTACTAATACTAGTCATTTAATCGTTCTTTCATCGCAGTGTCATGGATGCAACACATTAAAAACAAAAAATGTTAAACTAATTTGTAAAATAAACATAAAAAACTAACCTTTGTAAAAATTATGGCAAATCTTTTCTTACATTCTTGATCCATTAAAACACTAATAAAACAAACATGTATTTAAGAATTGACTTTTGGCTTTTGGGTTTTCGTTGTACCTCTCATTGTCCTCAAGCATCGAACAGAATAAACGGCAAAGTAGATTCTGTTATGCTTGATACGTGAGGTACTGAAATATGTGACCCAATATTCTTATATTACAGTACAGTAAAAGATAGGTTGCCAGGCAACAAAACATACGCCCACAGCAGCTAAATCGTCCGAGCAGTCGATAAGGGTTGTCACATATTTATTCTTTTGTAGGTAATTAGGGAGATTTAATAGACAATTTCATACAGATGACATTATAATTTTCTTTGTTTGAAGGTTCACAAGGTTCAAAAACTAAAACAAGGGCCATAACTCTGGAAGCAATCTACAGAAATTGTTAAAATTCGACAGGCTTTACTAATTCAAATAATGCATATATATTTCATACAGATCGGATGATAACTGTTGTTGTTCGAAAGTTCACAAAGTTCAACAAAGTAAATCAAGGGCCATAACTCTAGACGTAATGGATGGAAATTGCTGACATTCAATAGGCTTGTTCATCTTCATTTCACTAATTTAGGTGATAACTGAAACTCAGCCTATAGGCTTGTTCGTTTTACTAATTTAAATGATACATATAAATTTCATACAGATCGGATAATAACTTTTGTCGTTAGAGCATTTACAAGGTACAACAAAGTGAAACAAGGGCCATAACTCACGGCGTAATTAACAGAAATTGCTGAAATTCAATAGGCTTACTAATTTAAATGATGCATATCAATTTCAAACAGATCGGATGATAACTGTTGTCATTAGAGCGTTCACAACATTCAACAAAGTGAAACAAGGGCCATAACTCTAGATGTAATTAATTGAAATTGCTGAAATTCAATAGGCTTCTTTGTTTTACTAATTTAAATGATGCATATAAATTTCATACAGATCGGTTGATAATTTTTCTCGTTAGAGAGTTCACAAGTTGCAACAAAGTGAAACAAGGGCCATAACCCAAGAAGAAATTAACGGAAATTGCTGAAATTCAATAGTCTGCTTTATTTCACTAATTTAAATGATGCATATCAATTTCAAACAGATCGGATGATAACTGTTGTCATTAGAGCGTTCACAAGATTCAACAAAGTGAAACAAGGGTCATTAACTCTAGATGTAATTAACGGAAATTGCTGAAATTCAATAGGCTTCTTTGTTTTACTAATTTTAATGATGCATATAAATTTCATACAGATCGGTTGATAACTTTTGTCGTTAGCGTTCACAAGGTGCAACAAAGTGAAACAAGGGCCATAACTCCAGAAGAAATTAACGGAAGTTATTGAAACTAAATAGGATTCTTCATCTCACTAATGCAAACAACATATATCAATTTCAAAACAATCGGTTGATAAATGTAGTCTGTAGAGTGTTCACAAGAAATTGTGGACAATGGACGGACGGATGGAGGCGACGGCAATCTACGACCACATTTCCATGTGGGCGTATAAAAATTGAAAGATTTATGGGTTTAAATTTTAAATTATCATTTTATTTACATCAAATATGCCAATTTATGTCATATAAGTTGTTGTGATAAACTCAATTAATGATTTTTTTAATTATATGCCATCCTGATAAAGATTTTAAAACCATATATCTGCATAATAATAATTCTAAGATGCAGCTTTGGAGTCATAGGAAAGGAAACGAATTGAGATTAATGTTAATGTGCTGTCAATATTTGACACATTCTATTTTAAGGAATTATTTTATATATTTTTAGTTTTCAGTATTCCTAGATATAGCTCACTTTGTTTAATAAAGGTATTCATTTTTTAAATTTCAAACTATTTTTAAGTGCTCTTTCAATATTAACAGGCTGTACTTGATCAGGCATTGTACCTATATCCTTCACCACTGACTGTAACATTTATAATTAAAATTTACTTACCCTGACATCAGAAGTTGATGACTTTGAATTCGACCCGCTGTAAATGTACAATAAATTTTCTAATGTAGAATGGATTCAAATCAAATTTAAGAAAGGGCTGAACTCTTTCTTAAAAATAACATGCCGCCAACAAAGAAGAATATTTTAGTTCATAAGATAGTAGCAGTACTTCTAAAACATTTTCTGACCTAAATCTGTCAAACAAATTTGTAACATATATAGAGAGACAGAAAATGGGGTTTAACATCCACTCGACACAAACTAGGTCATTTCGGGACTAATATATGGTTCAATTTTATTTCAATAATTCGCTTGTGCGTAGAGGTCTTTAGCAGTGGGAGGAAACCGGAGAACCCGGATAAAACCCACGCGGTTAGACAGGTGACCCCAATCCTTGTCACGTAGAACCGGGGAATCGAAACCACACTAGTTGACTCAATGACAGACCTTATGATACAGTGCACACATGCTAACCATTTGGACATCCAATCCGACTTGCAACGTATAGTTGTTTACCAAAAGTGATACCTATCTGACATAGCAATTAGAATTTTCTCCAAAAGAAAGGAGAGTATTTTAAGAGTTACCTTTCCATAACATTGTATCAGCTAATAACAATTTCTCCATCAATGAATCACCGTTATCGCTCTCCATCGATAAAAGGCAGAACAATCTCCGCAACCCGTCGGATTTAGAAATTATATCTTGCAGCCATTGTAAAAGTTTTAAAGCGAACTGTTGATGGGCTACCACGGAGGAATGCATCACTTGAACTTTCAATGGTTTACTTCCATGACGAGACGTACTTCTCTGGAAAAAAGAAATTAACAAAAGAGTTAAAATTTGTTATGAAATTCACATTTCAAATAATAAATTGTAATATACGCAAATGAAGAATTGGAACTGGTTTAGTTTGATTTTTTCTGTTTTAATTATTTACATGGAGAGTAATTCATAACGTGCAAATCCAACTTAAGTATCCTCACAACAACAAATTATAAAACAAAGTGATCAACTTATTTATTTATCTCAATGCTCTGAATACAGTATATCCACATTCTACAGGTTGCATGAATTGCATATGGTTTGTACGAATTATCAGTCGATTGTCGTAGTATTCCAACTGCTGAAATCAGAGTATCACTAATCTATTGGAGAATTTATGGGACTTGACAGAGCTTTTCTGAGATATTGAAATATAAATGATATGAATGATGACCATCTTATATATAAGTAAGACAATTCCTAATAGTGTACATCTCTAAATAAGTGTATAGGATTCCCTGGACTACAATTATAAATGTCACAAAAAGTACACCGAAACCACATAAACATTTTTTCTTTTTCAGATAAGGTTACTACTTTCATTTGCATAATTATAACCTTCAATCTCCCGATTCTCTCAAATGTAGAATGCAGACATACTGTATTTGATGCAATGGTAATCATTTGCCCGCAAATTTATAAACTTACTTGTATAATCTCTTTAGCTTTAGTACATTCTTTAGTTGTACCTTTTAATACACTACTTCTACCCTGAAAAATAAAGCTGGAGATACATTGTATGTCAACAAGAAATGAAATAGGGTTTAACATCCTACTCCGACTGGGCTAATGAAAACGGACAAACGCCATACAGTGTGGCAGTGTGCCTATGGCCTACTCTTATATCAAATTCCAACTGCCAAGGGATCTTTTATGCATCAGCCAATGTATACACAGGACCTCGGTTTTCCGTTCCATCCGAACAACTAGACAGCTGTCATTGTCCGTCAACAAGAAACTCAACAAGAGCTCACTGAATAATACCATTAATAATTTGAATGTCAAAACAACAACTATCAACTGACTGATTTCAATGGCTTGTCCACATTTTCGATAGTACATTTTCCTGAGAAAGTAATCTATTATAGGTGTCCAAAGTTTTGGATTGGTCAAACATGGGGGACTTAGTAGAAGATACGATGAATTGAAAATCTGTCGGCATTCTTTGCAGACAATTAAACAACAGACAATGGTCAAAGCCAACACCACCTACAATCATCATGAAATTCTTTCATGGTCCTCTTTTTAATATCACTGAATCAAATCCTGGAGATTATCTACCATTAATATTTGGATCATGTGTCCTTATGTTAAAGCGGGAATTTCATATTTTCTAAGAAAGTCAAAACATAATTATTTCTATGTCTTTTGCTCAATAGGTTATCAACTCACTATTATACGACCATGGGCATTATTTCCCACCCTTAAAAATCATTGACACAGGAAATAATAACACAATTACCTCCCTTGTTTTCCTATTGCCTCCATGCATTAGCTACCTTCAAACGTTGGAATTTGAAGTTGAAAATGATATTTTTGCCAATTTCTCAGCTGGCAATAGTGAATTATAGGAATAATTGGGTTATTCTTTAACAAGGTAGGACGGTTTATGGATACCATCTATTTTAAGGCTTTATTTTAATAAATTTTAAAAATATAACTTAAAAATATGAAATTGTAGCTTTAAGTAATCAGTTTAAGTACATTTTAGCATCAATTAAACTGTGGAAAATTACATATCTTCCGAAAAATGCACTTTGATGTCACTGTGAAGTGTTTGCTTTAATGTTAATAAAGATTAAATTTGTCATGAAATTTGTCTCTTGCACAATATTTTCCAATGATTTTAGTCAATTTCAGGTCATTTAGTAAAATAAGTGGCAATGTGCATTCACCACATCTTTTTTTGTGGATTAAGAAAATATGTCAATCATTTTATTATTACTTCTCTGTCAACAACTGTGGCAAACTCTACAGCATCTGTTTGTGTACATTCTATAGCTTTCTGTAATGTTTGAATAACCTGAAAATATATATAATTAATAATGTCAATTAGTCAGGACAGTGGTAAAAATACCATGGTCAAATACTTTCGCTCATATTCCTCACAGTGCTTATTCTGAATGTAATTAATTAATCTAGTCTGAAACTTGTATTTTGGTATATTTATGGCTACACAAATGTTTCACATAATTATGCATGTTTTAATAAATATTTGTTGAATTGTTTTGCATTCGGAGTTTTTCTTAAATTTGAAATCAACCTACCTGATCATAAGTATGAACCTCGTCATTAAACAACATACAATGAAATACAAGATCGGCTTGATCTTTATCTATTTCTAAACCATCCGGTAAATGTACACATTCTTCCCATGTTAACATATCAACACAGAATTGTAACGTAGATAAAAATAAAACCTTTGCCCTTCTACTAAGATCTACTGGTAATAAATCCATAGGATTCTGAAAAAAATTTTTATCACATTTTCATTGTTTCTGACTTTAAGACTTAAAATAGAAGGTTCTGACACCCTTGTTTGATCATTGTGGTAAAAAGATTGCCTAACATTTTAAGAATGACAAAATCTTGGCAAATAAAATTTCAATTGTCCTCTTAAAGAACATGTAGAACACTGGGTAGCAAGGTTTGAACAATGATTATCAGCTACTGTAAATGCTGTGTTAGTGATGTTTGTCCAGATTATTTTGTCTTGCACCTACATATGATAAGCATCCTGCAATTGAAATATTTTTAGTTGGTATTGGCTTACATTGATGGCAAGCGATTACCTAGCCCACATTAAACTTACATTTTGTCCCTATAATTACAACATAATCAATAATACTTTTCAGCTATTTAAGGTCTTTAATTCAAATAAGGCAAATTTTATTGGTCTTCCATCATGTCTGTATACAATTAACAAATGTATGAACTGATGTTTAATGCACAACAATTTAATTGTCATTAAATATAAAAGCATTTTATTTCACTCACCAAATCTTCCTCTCCCTCCATTCTAGGTTTGTGTTCTTCACAGAACGGATCCATTTTCCATGCTTCCAGATCACCACAATCACAGTAACCTCCCCCTCCTGATGTACTCATCTGCAATAAAAAAAAAATAGATTTTCGGTCTTGAGAACAGAAAACCAACAGAATTTCATTTGACTCACAGTCACAAATATTTATGCACCATGGAAGAGAACCCTATCCATTCTGATGTATGCTAATCTTAAGAAATATATCCAAACGCACCAGTTTTTTCAAGACATGCTTTAACTTTAAAGTGGCACAAAATATGAAATAGGAAAACGGGTCAAATTGCAAAAAAACCCAAAAAAACAATTACAAGTATACTATGGACCAGGAACCGAGAATGATATTATCGCTGCCATCTTAGAATTGTGCTGTCATATCAAAAATCAAAGGTGAATCGAAGTGCATTTGTGTGCATTTGTACAAGGAACAAGCATGCCAAGTTTCATGTCAATGGTAATGGAATTGGCAGGATTTTTGAGAAGAGCGTTGCACCTACAAATTACTACAATGTAAGAAGAAGAACAAGAAAAGTGGCACTTGGTGACCAGTTCCTTGTCCAAAAAAGTTCAACCATCCTTTTTATAACATCATCAGTGGATTTTATTAACATCAGTATTCACGCTGACTACATCACATTTATATGAAGTGCAATGGCCATCTACTACTACAGATGCAATTGTAAGGAGTAGACTAGACGTATGTTACAGTAGATAAACAACTGTCAATTATCGGGCTGGGTGAACATGACTTTGCCTGGACTTACCCTATATCTATGCTGCTTATGTGAACTTTTCTGGAAACAGTTAATGCACAAAACACAAGTAGGATCTGTAGCACAATCTCTATATAAATATAAATAAACATCACTGGTATGTTACGTCTTCAATATTTCCATTTCCAAAACAGGACTTCAAATTTAGGATAGAAATTATTAAGGGCTATTCAAATGAATTATTGATTGCCGAGTTTAAAAGTTTATTGAAGTAACATCTGATAGTAATTTTGACTATTATCAGTTTTTTTATCATTAGGCCACAATAAAACTGCATATGATTTATTGTTGTCATGACTGGTATAAACAACGAGTTCAAAGTTTTTGATAAATGTATGATAATTTCAGTTCAAAATGTGAAATCATGTTTTGAAGTATGATAAATTATAGACCCTACATTTTAATACGGGTAATCTAAATACAAGTTCACTAGAAATTAGCTACGTCATCTATAGTGGAACATCAAAACTTATTTCTATCTAAAAGTATGATATTTCAGTAAGCTACATGTATAGGCAATACACACACTTTGTCTATTGCTATGTCAGTAAGTGACAGTTGTATTTGTAATTGAATAAAGTTATTTATTGATACATGTAGTTCGTAAGATATGTTGTTTTCAGCAACTACATGTATTATAGGTTTTCTTGCAGATTGTATATCTCTAAGTAATGGTTACCAGGCGTAAATGAGAGGTCAAACATCAAAGATACATCTTTATGACCAAATCAATAATCTGTACTTTTTAACAAAACAGATACCATGTTCAAAACAATCCATATACATCATATATTTCCATTCAAAATATGGTTCCATATCATACTTTTTCGTGACAACATTTAATAAATAATTTTCAGAATAAGATTTACCTGCAGGAATATGTTGGTTCTCCGGTTTTAAAGCCATGACCACAAATCTGCGATGGTTTATCTTTCTCTTTTAAAGTACGAAAAACTTCTTCTGGATTTCCATTGCAAATAAACTCTTCCATTGGACAAAACAGAAACTTGGCAGCCAGTCGTTCTTCTGCCCCAGTCTCATGGTTACCAGCATAGACAAAGGGCACATAACTCTTCCAGTGATGTTTTAATGAAGATAGAAGATCACCTTTTTGGTAACTTTTTATCCATTCCTAAATTAAACAGATTATTTCATTGGCTATTCTCTCACCAACCGAAAACAGTTTATCAAAAAAAACTAAAAACAACATCTAGATTCTACATGGAAGTAAAGGTAAATAAAACAAAATTAAATTAAATGAGATATTATGTTCTGTGTTTCAATTAGAATGAAATGTAGCGAATAAGCTACAAACAAAATGCGTTTATGATTAACTATCAACACTGATAATTTGGCACAATTTTTCCAAAATAATAAAGTAACTACATGTAAATCATTGGCTCACAATTTATCGTAACGTAAATTTATACACAAACTACAGGTGACATATGTAACATAAGCACCGTTGCTTTATAACAATGAGAGTTGCGACTTGCGACATTGAAAAGTTGCAGTTAATAAACTTAGTGAAAAATATCCATAAAGTTGTCTGTATTGCTTTTACTTAATGCCTTTCACTAGAGTATCGTTTAGTTGTGCTGTTTTAGTGTTTCTGTAATTTACCGGTAATGCTTAGTTTCAAACCATTGTTGGCAATTTGTTCAAATCATCAAAATAACATTGGGTCTCTAATGTTGCGTAGTTAAACAATGAGTGTTGGATTTACAACTCTTTACTTTCACTACTGGTGTTGAGTAATAGTATGTTACTAGTGAATGTTAAACAATGAGTGTTGGATTTACAACTCTTTACTTTCACTACTGGTGTTGAGTAATAGTATGTTACTAGTGAATGTAAACAATTTGCCAATAATGGTTTGAAACTAAACAATAAATACATAAACTCCAGCAAAAACAGCTGAACTAAATGATACCCGAGTTGTAGTGATTTAAATATACAATTCAAATATATTTTCGAAGAACTGAATATTTGCATACTGATGATTGAAACAATAGCCTAGTTGCTACATGTATCAAACAAAACCCCCAAATAAAGCCGTCCCGTGCTCTGGGTTATTGACTGGCAACATTTGACAATTTGTATCAAACTATTGTCCCTACTAACTGTATGTCCTAATTACGTTATGTCTACATGTACCTATTTGAACTTGAAGAAAATGCGGGTCTATCTGATGTGGTGGTTTTTAGCTACGATTGGAAGTCATTCAATTACAATTGCAAACTTTTTTACCAACTGTGTGACTTCTTGAAAATAAAACTTCAGCACTGCTCTAATTTTTCAATAATTAAATCAGATGTAGTGATCACAGTTGAAATTTTTCTGTATATTCGGCATCATCTCCACGCAAGTTTCAGGTGGGTTTTCTTAAAAATTTGTGATTGTCTTTTAACTTTTAGGAAATTTGACAATAAAAAAATGGTTATCGTTATCATTGTTTTGTGTAAACGTGTAAAAATAGTCATCAGGCTACTAATCGTTAACTGTTTCACTTTGTTGTTTAATGTTTGCATGATACAAGGGCCTTCTCCGGAAATAGCCAGGCCTCATGAAAATATTAGAGACGTGTTATCATTTCTGTATCTCCTGTTTCTTTATATACATTATTGAGTACCAACATATTGTTGTTATGGCCTTGTATTCTATGTAAATAAATATCACCTCTAAATATAGATTAAGCCTGTAGCCTACACATAAAGATAATTTAAACAACATACAATACAATACAATGACAATCTAAATTTAGACTAAAATGGTAAATTTTCATTTATATTTCCATGAACAAATTACCTGCAGTATTTGCTTTTTATTGAATTCATGAATATCATGAAACTGCCTTCTTGGGGTTTCTGGCCATGGCTCTGCTTCCATTATAAAATGTTTGTCTTGATTTCCCAAACGTTGCCAAATCAAGTCTGCAATCCCATAACATCTGTTAGATCTAGATTACTGGGGTCAACTGATCAATTTTTAGGAAAAATCAAAATTCAACAACTTCATTAGAAGACAAATAATACAATACAAACACTCAAAAGCTCTTGCAACTAAATTAAAAGCATCAAGCCACACAAAGGAGGTGAATTTACGTTTCAGAAAGTCATGAAATGATAATCCGAAGATACGGCTGAAGGTTCCAATTTCAATATTGTAAAATTCGGGAGTGGTTAATAAACAAATATATTTCAGAAAAAAATAATTATGACATAACATAACTGAGTTAAAAGATAAGTTTTTTAGAATATTTTGAATATTGGATTACGTATTTTTAAAGATATTAAATAAAACTCGACCTCCTTAGAACACAATATTCGATTGCTATTCATTCGTTTTAGTTACAATTGCGTTTCGTAATTTTACTATACCGTGTTTCGGTATTTGTTTTGGATTTTAGACTTGCTGCAGATTATAATAAGATATGGATAAAATATCTGACGTTAGCCTCGAAGAATGTTCACAGTCGAAATATCTAAGGCCCTACAGACTAAGATATACACAGGTTTGGCCTTTTAGCTTCATTCTTGTGCCGAAAAGTCTGGAATTTCCTAAGTTGTTGCAAAGAATAACGATTTGTAAATATTGTCCAATCAAACCACTTATTTTGATCACGTGATGTAAATATCTACTTTCGTTTTGTTTTGACGAATTTCTGTAATAGTAAGTGCAGGTGGACTGCACCACACAAAATTTACACAAAAACAACTACACGGACAAGACATCATGCTCAGGAAAACACAAACAGACAGACAATTCAAAAAAGGTGAATGGATCCGGGGGCTAGCCATAAGCGTCCACTGCGCTGCAGTACAAGCCCGTGTCTGTACTGTTGTAGTGACAATGACTTCACTCAAAACAATCAGGAATACAACCCAAAGAAACCATTATGCAATGCCAGCATGAGTCATGATCTGCTATATGCTATACGAAATACGAATGTAAGCATATGTAGTAAAATTCAACTATACAAGTAACCATATCGGTGAAATGTATTAAAAAAAAGTAGTCTAAACCTAAATGCTCTAAAATCAATCAAGAAACGTTTCACAAAAACGTCACAAAAACAAAAACAAAAACAAAACTGAATACAAAGAAGCAAAAGCAAAGAAGCAAAAGGAAAATGTAGACTGTCTCGAGACACAGCCGTCTGCTAACTGAGTGGCGACGTTATTTTGGGAATGACGTCATATCTTAGAAGGCGATAAAAAATCACAATAATAAGGCGATAATCCAGATAAAAAAACCGTTAAAAGCTTAAAAACTATAAGTTTTAGCGACTAATCAGAATTTTTAAGTTGTGTAATTGTACAATTTATAATATATTACTAATATAATACCCCACACAAGAAATGCAAAACAGGTAAGCTGAAGAAATCGTACTATGTAAGTGTATTTGTAAAGGCATAAAAAATAAGGGAGGTAATTCAGAGAGGCTTTGGTAACTACAGAGAATCTAAAATGAAATTTAAATTGGATCATTATCCAGTATGTAGTCGGTTATATACTTATAAGAAATGTCAAACTTGGTATGTTGAAGAATGGAAGTTTTGAAATTTCTCTTAAAATGCGTAATTGTGTACCACCTTTGGCAGTGCATTTAAAGTAAAGAGATTTTATTTGGGAGAGAAATAGTTCTTTATTCTTACATATTGTCAAAAACTGTAATGCCTGTGAATAGAAAACACTATATAGCGTGGTATCTGGTATGTTACTATAGATTGACAGGTATTTTACTACTTCAAAACCAAATTTGTCCGTTTTGTCGAAAATACCGACATCAAATTTATTGTTAATTATATTGATATCCAGGTCAAGAACAGGTGCATTTATAGTGCCGGAATTTTCTTTATTTAATATTAGTTCAGGAGGATATATTTCATTTTTATATTTGTTGAAATTTCCGTAATCATTGATGGGTGTTATGTCGTCAATGTATCGAAAGGTATAGTTTAGACTTTTAGCTATTTTGTAATCTGTTTTTCTTTTATGGTCTTGAAAGTAGAATTCGTATTTATATAAATGTGCATTAGCCATAAATGGGGCGGGGTCAGTTCCCATTGGTAAACCAATGGTTTGCTGTATTATCTGATCCCCAACCTCAAATATGGCATTGTCAATGCGGAAATGTATGATATTTTGAAATTTTTTTTTATCAAAAACTACAGTGTCGGCATTGCAACCTTTTATAATCCATTTAGCATCTTCTGCATAAATGGCCATCAAGTTTCTGTCTTTCCTGAAAGCTCCATTAAAGGCTTTATCTACAAACCAATCCATATTATCTTTAAGATCTGCAAATTAAATAATACCACCAAAAATTAAAGTAAATAAACAATTTTATCAATACCAAAAACTGTTCAAATTGCATTTGGTCGGAATGTTGTCGAAAAAATATATTATTGTCTTTTTATTTCTTCAAAATAATTAGCAAACAAATGTGACCCTACAGGTACTTATATCTATAAAAATGATTAATAAATGGGAGATGGATAAACTGAATTGTTGGACCAGTATTGTTATTTTCTTTATTTCATGTGTATATTCTAGTATTGTGATTTTAGAATTGTATAACTTGATGGTCTAACAGAATAATAATATCTTCCTGAGTAAAATTTTTGAATTCTAGAATGTGGACAATTGTATTTCAATTGGCAAAAATGCATGATTGGTAAGTGAGGTAAAGGGGTGCCATAATAACGCATAAATTACTGCATAAAAGAATTTATTTGAATTTATGTCACATTAATCTATATCTTAAGAATGTGTCTGCTAGAGGACCATGCAAAAATTGATAAAAAAAACCATAACCCTGGGGGTAAGCAATTTTAAATCATACTTGGTCTATGGGGACCCCTAGGCAACAAAAGTTACGCGATGCAGTGAAAAATTTGTTGGATGACAACTTCCGGGATAACTGGAAATTGTTGTTTTTGGTCAAAATTTGCCACATTTCAACCAATTTTTTGCCCAAATTTCAAAACACTCCTACTCAAAATGTTGTGACTCTAAAATTTTGATATTGGTCAGGTATAATAGGGCAAGTAGTCGACTTAAAATCCTGCAGTACTTTGCAAATGAATGAATGCCAAATTGGTATCAACTGAATCAACCTAATATTTTGTGGGGATGTATCTGGGTACTAACCCAACTCACAGAAAAAATTTGGTCCAAATCCCCAACCCAAGACTTATCGCCCTCTGGATGGTGCTCTCGCGGACACACTCTTAAGCCATTGTTAAAATACCTGATTTGTCATTTTTTAATGATAAATATTTTCTTAAACATTCAGAGATCCAAAATATGGGATAAACAGTCTGTGATGGACAATGAGAATATTGAAATGGATTTTCTGCTTCCTTCATACAAAATCCCTTTTTATACGGGCGTGTTGGATGGCCGAATGGTTAGCACGTGCGCGCTGTATCATAAGTTCTGTCATTGAGTCAACTGGTGTGGTTTCGATTCATGGGTTTTCTCCGGGTTCTCCGGTTTCCTTCATCTGCTAAAGACCCCTACATGTACATGCGATCGAATTATTGAAATAAAATTAAACCATATGTTGGTCCCAAAATGACCTGCTTTGTGTTGAGTGGACATTAAACCACATTTCTCTCTCTCTCTCCCTTTATATACATGTATACTATTTCTTTTTTTAATTCCAGAATGGTATCGAAAAAACTTTGTGTTGAGTGAACATTAAACCCCATTTCTCTCTCTCCCCCTTTATATACATGTATACTATTTCTTTTTTTAATTACAGAATGGTATCGAAAAAACATGGGACCTGATGAAAGTGAACGACAGGTACTCTACATTTAGAAATATCTTGGTACTTGATTTGTACTGACAATTCAAGTCCATAGCATAAGTTTTGCAGCCTTTGAATGCATTTAAAAAGTCTCTGCCCTTGTTAACGAAGGTGTGATAATCATTAATCTGGAGTATTGTCCACTTGTCTGATAACCATAATATACAAGGAAAATTAGTACAGGACAAACTGAACTTTGGTTTTTTTCAATGATCATATTTTCTGTGAAAATTTAAATAAAGAAATGTTTATTTTTCAGTCTGGCTATCATAGTTTATAATCCATTTAGAAAGGTTTTAGTGTTTGTAAAACAGTTCAGAGCAGGTAAAAGAAACCAGAACCGCATTTACATGTATAGCTAATAAAATGGGGCAGATGCACAGGACAAGAGGGTGTGACATTCAGGGAATTGACCCATGTTCCATACTGTAGGTGCTATTTAGATTCTACTTTATTATTTATGACATGGTAATGTAATGGAAACATAAAATGCCTAGTTTCCCACCACCCATCCTTCAACCTGATGATGAAGAACTGTATTTATGTCCCGCATACTCCCTCCAAATCCAATACTGTGGTAGATTTCTAGAGGACCATCAGAGGTTCAGAAGTAGAAAAAAAATAAATCATTCATTTGTATAGAACAAGCATAACCTGCCCCATCTAGTAGTATGACATCCAAAACTAATATTATGAAAAATTGCTTATGCCTTCAATACGAATCTGGATTGTTCACCCACTCAGGGAATGTGATTTGGAATTAGACTGTCGTGAGACATGTTAGTTTTTCAAACACCTATATGAAATTGTGGTTGTATACTGGCATTCCCCCCAAGTGTTCTTCTGTCAGAAGTCTACATCTATAATTGGATCTTTTTTACAAAGTTATGTATGATGTTTGTCCTCCCGCGACCATTAAAATGGGTCTGTTTATCTATCTGTTCCTCTGTCTGTCTGACACACTATAGCTTACTGTCGAATGATTTTGCCTTGTGTGCTGCTCGGATGACTTGGCTGGTATGACCGTATGGTTTGTTGCATGGCAACCAATCATGCATGTGTTTTTGATCGTAATTATTATTTTGTAGCACTGTATTGGGCACATGCTGAAAGTTATCAAGATAATGGTGTTACTAAAATAGACACTACTAAATATCCTGGCTCGCTTGGATTAACACATGAATTATGTGCTGGCCTGGTTGATAAAGACTGCAATATAAAGGAAATAGCACAACAGGAATTACTGGAAGAACTGGGCTATAAAGTACCATTATATAAAATAGAAAAGATAACAAGTTACAGGTGTGTATTGATTATGAAATATCTTTATTATCGGGTATATTGTGTTTATACATTCATGACTCTTTCTTCCATTTATCTCTATTTTTCAATCATCCATCCCTGTCACCATCCAGTTATGTATTCCCTTTTATACAAACACAGTTTAATATATAATTATCAGTCTCCATACAGAAGTGCTCACAGTGCAGAAACCACTCTAATCCATGTTTTCAACACTATTGGGGCCTCCCGCAGAAAATATGGAAAATTCAGAGTTGAAAAATGGCATCTGTGGACTATTCTGCCGCAGTTTACATATGAGTTTATTTGGCTATGCGCAGTGTTTTTTCGCATGAAAACTCAGCACTAGGAAGATAACAACATTTTTGTTACGAAAATATTTGAATTATAATTGAGATTCTATCAGTAACAAGGGTACGTTTCAAAGCATGTATTTTTCATTTCGAAGCACGTTCGTGCTCCTAGGCCATGACAGGCAGTGATGGTAGAAAAATTCCTCCTCTGACAGTCACGCTTACCTATGGTGTACCTCAAGGATCAGTATTGGGACCCATTTTGTTGTGTATTTACACTAAACCACTTGGTAGCCTGCTCATCGAAAAGGATTTATACCAGCATTTTTATACATACGACTCAAAAATCATAAATTTCTTCATCCAGAACAAAATAGTCAGTTGTCTTCTTGTATGAAACTGGAAACATGTTTAACGGAAGTGAAAAGCTGGATAACAAACAATATTCTCAAACTAAATTCAGACAAAACAGAAACGTTATTGATTGACCCTCCAAGGAGATTAAAACAGAGTGACATTATGTATTTGAAAAATGAAAATTTGAACATCAATCTTTCAAATTCCATCAAAAGTCTTGGTGTCATCGAGAACAACAATCTATTAATGGGAAATCAGATCAGTTTCCTTTGCAAATCATGTCATTAACACATTTGAAACATTGGTTCAATAAGACATTTTATAACAGCAGATGCTGCAGCAACTCTTGTCTGATGTCTTGTTCTTTCTCGTCTAGAACAACAAAATCGACTTCAAAGGATAGAAACTTCAGCCGCAAGAATTGTTGCACGAACAAAAGTTTGTGACCACATATCGCCCGTTTTAACCTATCTTCATTGGCTTCATACCAGTGAACGTATTGGATTTAAATTACCGTGTTTAACATATCAGACAGTTCACAAAACAGTACCTGTGTACCTTCAGGAACTTGGTCAGGAACATTTACCCTCTAGAACTTTATATGAAAAAATAATTTTCAGCTACAATTACCATCTTACAATTCAAAAACCTTTGGATCAAATTCATTGTCATATCTGGCAGCTTCACATTGGAATAACCTCCCTACTTATTTGAAACAGTGTCCAATTGCAACCCTATCTACTTTCAAATAATCACTGAAGACTTATCATTTCTGACACTATGTTTACTGTTTAGTATTGTGTTGTAAAGTTTGTCTTCACCCACCCTTTCATACATCTGTCATCCATCTCTTACTGATCTGTGGGTTCGATGGGCCGTGACGTCTAATGGGTAGCCTACAATTTAGATCTTGTTCACAAGATCTGTCATTGAGTCAGCTTTCGCGGTTTTGATCCCAGGCTTCTGAGGCTTGTATGGGACAAGGAGTAGGGTCATCAGCCTAAGACCCCAATGCAAAATGAATTATTTCTCCCTCTCTATCTTTTTATAGATCTGGTATTGGAATTAGTGCTAGTAGACAGACGTTATTTTATGCCGAGGTATCGGACGTGATGAAGGTTGGTGAGGGAGGAGGTCTTGTGGAAGAAGGGGAGTTCATAGAGACAGTAGAAATACCGGTAGATAAAGGAAAATCTTTCATTTATGACGAATCTATAGCCAAACCAATATGGACTATGTTTGCGTTACAATGGTTTTATGATAATAAATATAAAGTAGCAAAGGCAGCTGAGTAAACCTAAAATACTTGTGGATCACAATTTTTTGATTAAGTTCCTGACAAAGCATCCTCGGTATCCAATATGGACTATGTTTGTGTTACAATGGTTTTATGATTATAAATATAAAGTAGCAAAGGCAGCTGAGTAAACTTAAAATACTTGTGGGTCACAATTTTTTGATCCTCGGTATCCCCAGTGGTCTCATTCAGTTCCACTCCACTATAGCCTGGGTTCATACATGGGGTATTCACATATTCAAATTATCTTCCCTTGATCGTAGCTTCATTCTACAAACCAATCAAAAACAGTTTATAAACCAGTCTTAGCCTCATTGTTTACGTTCACAACAATATGGCGGCTTTTTCGCTCGATTATGAAAAAAGTTTGCAAGAAATTTAATATAAAAGAAGTGACGTGCACACCAAAAGATGTTCTAAAACATATTTTGTATGTGAAAGACGTTTTAATGTCCGTCAAAACAGGCAGTGGCAAGTCGATATGCTATCAAGCCTATTGGTCGATAAAAAATGCACAATCATCAAGGGCAAATAATTTGAATATGTGTCTTCCCACATGGATGAAACCAGGGTATAGTGGAGTAGAATGGAATGAGACCACTGGGAATACTGTCCATTGGTTATGAAAAGTAATAGCTGTTTCACTCAGATTGAATTATTACATCTTGGATGTAAGCGTCAATTTATTAATGTGGTAGCTAAATTTACTTTAGTAGTGGGTTGTGGGGAAAGCAAAGATGGTTTCAAGGGGTATTTTTCAACTCTGTAAATGTGCTTTCAAAATATTTAAATATTTCCTAAGTTAACAACTTCCATTGTGAAGTTGTCAGTATCCCTATAAAGTTTTAAAGCTAATCTCTGAGTTTGATCTGTGTTTATAATTACAGAATGTCATATAATTTTAACAATTAGTGGATGTCATCATTTTCAGGATGTCAGATAGGATATTTCATGAATGGACAGTATATCAAAGGAACAAAATTTAAAGGCCATTTTCAAATGAAAATCCATTAATTCCTTTAGTTTCGAGTGCTAAAATCTGTCACAATAAACTACATGTACCTGCATTCTCCTGATAATATTGTGTACACATTAATAGACATAACAATGAAACTAAATTACAAAAATGGAATATTTAGAAATTTTTAAATAATTTTCTTACATTTTATAAAACAATATTACATGTGTATTGTTCTTGTTGCACTATTCACATTTTGAAAAATTTACAGTGATTCTTTACCAGGGCATAGTAAATGTTGAAATCAAAATGTTGCTACATATCTTACTGGTGTATATTACTGCTATTGAAGGTGGTTTACCAAACTGTCATCTATGTTTTTATTTTCGAAGATTTCTTTTTTATCATACTTTTTGATATTTTTATCTGTGTTACATTTAATATCATGAATAAACGTTTTTCATCAGATTCAATGTCATCCAAAGTCTTCCACATTGAATACACACATTATTGTCAATTTAAATCAACATAGATGTTGTAATCTTACCGGGAATAGATTGGCTTCTGATATCCAATATTTAAGACAAAATAAATATTTTACCATTGGTACACGAATCGTGTATCATAATGCGTTTCAGCGTCATTTGTAACAAGGGACTTGAAGAGTGTGTGTATGAGTTAGTTGTATTTTACATCCGCTTCCATCGAGGTGATTATCGCAGACAATAACATGTTATGTATACATGGGGCTAAACAATAAATACTATCGGTGTAAACTGGAATAACCAGACACTAGAGATTGCCATTCGATTGAGACTTCTGGCCAGGAGCGGATTGGGGCCGGGAACCGACCCGGGCTCCCGTGTTGGAGCGCCCCCTTTACTGACCGCGGAGCCTTGACGGGTGGTCCGGGGGCTCTCCCCCTAGAAAATTTTAAAAAATGAACCCCAAATATGCGATTTGGTGGCATATCTGATTATAATCTCTGTCAAATCATATATCTTATAAATCGATTAATTTAGGCCAAAACCCCAACCTGCAATAATTTACAACCATCAACCTGTGATGTCAAGGAATGTTTAACACCAGCCTCAGGAAATCGTCTCGCACTCATATTCAGCCAGCAGACCAGCTATCATCATATTTTGCTGAGGCCTTAAAATTGAAATTTTTTTTTGAGTTACGAACCATCGGCAGACGTTTCTGGCGTATCTCAACAAACAGGGTGCAGGTGACTTAATAATTAGTAAATTTGCGGGCGACAGTGTCGGGTGAATCCGATGAAATTTTCGGATGAAATTTGGAATCCCCATTGCAGGATTCCGAATTCCGGTTCACACCCAGCATACCCGGCCCAGAAAGTCTATTTTACCAGCCCATTCCAGACTTCAGTGATGGCGTGGCGGCCCGTTAAAGCCACCGGCCACATACAACATGATCAACATCGCTCCATGGCCGGACCAATACCTCCCGCCCTCACCCCATATAATGTTCAGCAGAAAAGTTTTTTTTTAGACGAATTGGACAAAATTATATTTTTTTCATTTTTTTGCCGACAGGCCCTTCGCCCAATGGCCCAATCCGCCCCTGCTTCTGGCGTATTTCGTCGAACATAACTGATTAGAAGCTTTAGTAAAATTAGAAACGATTTAATGTAAATAAGTTTATATACATTCATATTACATTATTATATGCGTTGCGACCCATTTGTTTCCATTTTTAGCGATTTAGCTCCTTTAAAGTTGATAAATAGCATAAACTAATTAAGACAAATTGTAGTTCGTCTATTTATAGCAATTCTCTCTCTGTCTCTTTTCTCCCCTTTTGCATGCCCATTTTTGTTGATGTTTTGGTCTAGAATGGACGAAGAGGGTTTGAATTAACATTTTCTGTCAGGTTTTGGTAACTATTCATGATTTTGAGGCGGAAGGATAACGGGGTTATCAGGTTGGCTACGGTAATATGTACGGCAACTAGTTACATGTTTTTAGTATGCTTCTTCAAGTTTGTGTATCTCAAAATTTTGGTGGTCAACCTCACACAAATTTTAGTGCAAAGACATGATCATTTGTTCCTCTGTCTGTAGTGAAAAGCATTCAGCCCAACGAAAATTTTGGGAAAAGTTGGAGGTGGGCAAAGAGGCCAGAATTAAAATTGAAATCAACGGGGAAATTAATGGTTGTCTGCCACAAACTTTAATTGAGTTGCCTCCCTTGGGTCAATCGGCATTATAGTTTTGTGGCGACTCCTCTAATCATTTTCATTTTTCAGAAAGTATACAAATTTTCACGGCGTAGTCCACACCAGAGTGTACTCAGATCGATTTTTTAACATTTAATTAAAAAAACAAAATCAAAACAGCAACGGTAGATCTCCCGGTCTATAAAATGTTTTTGGCGAAGATTATATGTAGCGTTGAGGTTTGATCATTTGCTATTTATATCTTCTGCAGAGAATGCCAAATGGTGACAAATTTTAATTTACCTTCTAGTAAATTCTGAACAAAATTGAACCAATTTCGGACTGATGTTTATTTTTATGAACATACAGTGTTCTAAAACTGCGCGGAGGGTGGATGGGGGCACATTTTAAACCAACAACGAGTGTGCGGAAAGAGAAATGCTCTGACAGAACGAAGGAACGTCTTGTGTGTTTAAAGTGTTTCAAAATAGTATTCTAAAAAGCGTATTTAGTTTACCCTAATAGAACTGTCTTCAACAAGTTCAAAGCCAGTTAGTTCCAAGGCGTACGTTGGTCCTCCCTCCGACAATATATTAAACACCCCCACCGGCAAACAGAACCGAAATAACCAAATAAATGTTTTTTTTACTAAAATAAACTTACAAAACGATGTGCTAATGACTTTTTTGCAATGACATTTTGACACAAAATTTTACCTCCCTCAGATCAGCGACGTTTGTATGTTGGTAGGACATATTTTAGTATAGTAAGCCCCACTGCTGACAGAAATTCCTCCACAGCTTTGTAAAAAAACATAAACAAGCAGTGGGGCAATAAAAGTGTCAAGTGCAATTACGCGCTTTTGGTATTATTTTGGAGTCGGAAGTGTATCTTTATGCGTTGGTGTCCCCTCCGCACATTCAAACAACATAGACGCTACGATATAAACAGGGTTAGCTGTTATTTCTAAATAGGAGGGGGGTGGGGTGGGGTGGATGGCTGAATGGTTAGCACGTGCGCGCTGTATCATAAAGTCTGTCATTGAGTCAACTGGCGGGGTGTCGATTCCCAAGGTTGTACGTGACAAGGATAACGGTCGCCTGTCCAACCACTGCTAAAGACTCCTACGCCCAAGCAAATTATGGAAATAAAATTGAAACATATGTTAGTCTCGATATGACCTAGTTTGTGTCGAGTGGACGTTAAACCCCATCTCTCTCTCTCTCTCTCTCTCTCTCTCTAAATAGGAGCGTTTTATATTATAAATGAATTTTGTGCATTTTATCAAAAAATTTCCTGCCCACACCATTACGATCTATTCGATAGTGGCATTGTCATTCAGTATACATGTTTTGAAAATCTAGCCCTGTTAATAGGTTACAAATAGAGTTTTTGTAACAATGACGCCCATTCCGATGACCATGAACAATTATATTTGGCCATACGTAATGCATATTTGGAAAAGGACATCAAGTGGTGCAAAATTGAACAATAATTTACCTTTTTATAAGCATCGAAACTTGAAAAGTTTCTCACGCTAAATTCCCATTTCTCGGAAATGATAAAAATTAGAAACTAATATTTGTAATTGCTTCACTTTTCATCATATATATACATTAAATGCTACATTTCTGTGAATGTTGCAGATAGAAATATTAAAACAGTTATATACCTTTGAAAATGATCATTTTTTAGCTTTTAAATCAAAATTGCGGGGAAACAAAAACGAAATTAAAATTTCGTATGTCAGCATTCTGTGCGGATTGACAAGGTGCATCCACAAATATAAGTTCAGTTTATGTAAATTGATATTTGCCTTCCAAATGTTGTACCGTAGAGGTCAAAAATAAAGTTATTTTTAAAATAACGCTACTTCTGGTGCCGATGCAAAATTTCATACTTATGGCTGACACCATTCTGGATCTAGCTTAATTTTGTGTCGATCTGACTAGTAGTTATAGCAGAATATAAGGTTCTGGCAGTTAATAGCAATGACGTCATTGGTTAGTAGTCTTTTTATTGATCAAAAAACGGTAAGTCATAGGGCGGTAACTTATAAAAAATAATTGATATTCGTATTCGTATTATTCCAAAATATGAAGTTTAAACATACATTATGCAAGAGCTAATTCTGCCTATTGCAAGTCTTTATTTAGGCTTCAGATGTTATAGAAATTATTAATTAGACCTTTATTTACATGACAAGCTCAAAATCAACTTTGTAGACCCACGGATGGCATGGATACAGTTTGCATTTAAACCCCATTTCATTTCATTTTCCGTTCAGAACAAAGTAATTTGACTGAAATTTTCATTTTCTTTTTTTTTATCATCTATTTTTTAATTATTATAGCAAGAATGGCCAACTCTTTATAAAACTCTTAACTAATGTATCTTTAATTAATAAAAAGTTTTTTTTTCAAATATTTAAAAAAATCAATTTAAAAAGCAAAGCTATATGATATTTCGAAAACATAATATCTGAAATTGTAAAGATATTTATCCTGAAACGGGCTATCCAAATACTGATATTTTATTATATCAAATTTTAACGGCATTTTAACCAAAATATGTACAAAAAAATCTAAGACCTGACTTTGGTATCTCAGCAGCAGATTTGCAGATCGTCTCAAAAATCTTCTCACAAGTCGCGGATCCAGGGCCCACAAACACATGCACACACTTTAAATAACAGTATAAAACATTCTCTTAATATTCAGTTTTTTGGGGTTTTTTTTTTCATTTATTTAATTTTTTTGATTAGGTGATGTAGCTAATGGATTTAGCGACCTCCTAAATAGATCAAGTACAGTATTTTATTTCCTTTCATAATGAATACTTTAGTTAAATTCTTTTTAAAAAGCAGACGAGACATGTCAAATATCTGACCATTGTGCAAATTATATTTCACGACTTCGGCGTTAATAGAGACAAATTAGTCAATTATTATCAACAAAACTACTGGAATTAAGGCGAGGACTGCAGCATCGTGTTAACAAATTTTGAAATGATAAACATGCTAACACCTTGATTATTGTACTTCGAAATGGCTTTCCTTTAAAATTACACCCCTTTAGCTGCTGTTATCCCGTTTCTAATTGCATGGTGTCTTCTTAACTAATATTCACTCGGAATGGGTGACTATTGTAACAGAGAAATAATTAAAGATGAATTGACCGTTTGCTGGTTGATAAACGACGGGGGTGCCGTTAACGTGTTGCTTTTAACAGCTGAGCTTTTGCCGTGGAAATTGAAAAGTTTTACTTTTACAGAACTGTAATTGATTAATTAGCTTCAACTTTCTGTTTCTCGCTGTTAATTTTAAATTTTACAAGATTACTATTCCTGTTTAACCTCGACTGTTATAGGCTATTTTTTTGTCTTTTAAGTATCTAAAATGTGTTCATAATCTGTATATTGTTTAC